CACGGGCTCGACCACTGGGAGGGGCTGAGGAACAGCCGCAACTGGCTCCGTCTGCTGGGTTTCGATCGACGACAGACTCAATGCTGGAAGCTCACGTTCTCGTTCCACTTCAACGCGCTTCTCAATGACGACAGGCTCAACCATTGGGAGTGGTCGAGGAATAGCTGCCACAGGCTCGGTTTGCGATGAGTAGATCGACGAGGTGGCAAATGCCACAGCCTCAGTATTGGTGCCATGCTCAGCAAGGGCTACCACCGGCGCAGGCTCAGGGAGGGCCGCCGCAATGGGCAAAGTGTGTTGAGACGAGAGTGTCGACAGCGCCACGGTGGGGACGTATGCCGGTTCAGGTCTGATCGGCTCAGTGGACGAAGAGGAGATCGGGGACAATGCGATCTCAGGTGGTGCAGGGACAACAGAGGCAACGGGTTCTGTCGTGACTCCGATGGCATATGCGGTAGTCAGAGGAGAGCGCCTCGGCGGAGATGGAGCAGTCTCCTCAGAAGCGACAGAAGAGACTTCTAGTTGCGACTGAACTGATGGTTGCTCCAATTCTTTCGAGATCTCGGCGGCGATCGCCTCGGAGTCCGGGACGGTCCACTGGGTGGAAGCATGCGCCAATTCGGGCTTCTGCGGTTCCTCCGTCGCAGTGCCAGTATCAGACATGGACAGCTTCGAGGACGACTCTTGCACATCCTTGTTCATCTCTTCACCATTCGGGATAGCAGTGACTGTAGCGGGTACGGCGGGCTCCCACGGATCTGTCATCATAGCGGAATCAACCATGACAGGTCTCGGCACAGCAGTAAGCACGGCTTCCGATGGACGTCTTGAGTCGTAAGCGGGGAGCATGCGCGGAGTCGAGGCCTGCGAGGCCGTGTCGAATCGCATAGGGGGTCCAAAGTCACCCTCCTGATCTTCGTCTCCATCCAACTCAGCAAGCTCCATGAAAAGACTCTGCCCTTCAGGGCTGGCTGAGCTTTGCAGGAAGCTGGTAGCGGGAGAATCGCGAGCGGTAGAAGGTCTGCTATTGGAAGCCATAGGAGCTTCGCCAGAGGGACGAATCCTCCGCACAATGCTCCTCTTGTTCCGCACCCTGTACCGAGGACTGATTTGACTCGTGGGCGATGGGAAGCCTTCCTCGTCGATCATGTCCTCGTCACTAGAATTGGACGCGGTGCTCTCGTAGACTTTCCTGTCGCGAGTCTTGGCCATTGTGAACGAGGAGACGCGTCCGCGTGGAGTCCGCTGCAGCCGGTTGTCCGTCTCCGTGAGCTCGCCGCTATCCGTGCTGTCATCAGCCATGCTCTCGAGACCAGTCTGGAACGCGTCGCTTTCGGTGGCTGTTCCGCGTTCGGTGGCAGTCTCAAAGCTGTCGTCTGCCTCGGTAGCGGTCTGGTATGCATCACTCGGTTCTGCGGAGGACTGTCCTCCCATGCGCGCCCGGGAGGCCTTGAGAGCGGCTTTGTGAGAGGGGCTGGCGTCAGTAGCATTGTCCTCCCAGTCTGATTCATGGATCTCGATCTCCGCCCTCTTCCGACCAGCGCCCAGGAGATCCGGCCGGGGGGCCTTGCGTGCAGGGTCTGGCTTGGTCTTCTGGCGTTTGCTGGTAGGACCGGTGGTGGCAGTGGATTCACGGCGCTTCTGCTCAATCTCATCACGGGCTTCCTGGAGCATGCGCTTCAGGTCGATCTTCTCGGTCTTTTCGCGATGGATGGTGCTCTTGAGGTTCTGGATCATGCGGTGGGCGTGACCGAGCGAGCTCTTCAACGTCTCCGTTTCGAGGTGGTTGTGCCGCGGCGTGAACTTGTTCGGGGACGGGGGCGGGGAGTTCTCAGGAGTCGATTGATCTTGGTCGTCCGAGTCTGGATGCCTATGGACTTCACGAGAAAGCTCTTGTTCTTGCTGGCGGAGGCGCATGGCCACCGCCCTGGCAAGTTCCTCATTCTGAGAGTTCAGCTCCTCGACTTTCTGCTGCAACGCAAGCTTCTCAGCATCTCCCGCATGCAGATTCCGACGCAGAAGGTGGATCTCAGCATCGTTGGCTTTTTGCGCCGCGGTCTGATCCTCGATCAACTTCGCATTTGCCTGCCTCAGCTCTTCCAGCTCTCGTTCCACAGCGCTCTTCTCTGAAGCCAAAGCCCCCAGGCTGCTGTTCAGTCGGCTTTCCCGGTCAGCAGCTTCCTTGGCGGCTGTCATCAGTTCACGGGTTCGAGTCTCCAAGGTCCAATTTTCATCTTTGTAGCGTTCTTCGCTCTCGTCCAGGATCCTGATGCGTTGCGCATAGCCCTCCGCCTCAAGTTCGAGTCGCGACTTTTCAAGGTTGACATTCTTGAGAGCCTCCTCACGCTCGGCGAGCAGGGCCTGCAGTTGGCGCACCTGGGCAAGGAGAGAGGTAGAGATCTCGGTAGCGAATTCAATATCATGAACACGGTTGGAGGGCTGGTTGCGCTGCTTTCGAGACGGAACGCTGACCTTGCTGGGCGAGGGGGTGGCTTGGCCGGCGAAGAGAGCCGTGCTGATGGGTGACTAAGAGTAGGGTCGTTAGCTGTGTGTACCAAGCCCACTGCAGACTGCCGTCTTACCTTCTGCCCATGCGGAGTCCCAAAGTGGCCATCTTCACCGCTTGCCAAACGTTTCGGGGCGAGGAATGCGCGTGCCGTTTCCCGGCCGATCTCATTGTACTCTTTCTCCAGGTCGGCCAACTTGCGACGTAGATCGGGACCAATCTGGCCCTCCTCCTGCTGCTGCTGTTCCACTTCTCGCAGCTTTTCTTCGAGCTGCTTCTGCTGCTCAATCAGAGCCGTGCCCAGCTTGCCTGCCTCTTCGAGTCGGCGCTCCGTTTCCGCCAGATGGGCCTCAAGCGCCCGTTTGGCCTGAGCCGGAGAGGATGCATTCAAACCGAACAATTGCGTGTCGAAGGAAGAAAGCTTGTGCGAATCGCGAGAAGCCATCCCCTCCCGGGAGTGGGAGACGAAAGGATCTTCGACTGTAGACATCTTGGCAGAGATCCGGTATTAATAGCTCGCGATGGAGGGCGAGAGAAAGGGTGGTGAGCCCACGGAGGGATCTGCCGTCGTCGCGGGCTGCTGTCTCGAGCACAGACGCAGGTGCCGTGGGTATCCCGCGTAACTCGTCGCCTCGGTCTTCGTATCGTCGTATCAATTCTGAATCATCCTCCGGCTTGCGACCAAATTCCCGTGGGGCTGATTGACGTCGATATCTTTCGCGTTGGGTTTCGTTGCTTGAGCCGACCAGCGAAGATGGGCTTGGGGAGTAGGGTGACCTCGAGCTGAGCGTATCGGGACACCGACACCAGGGATGCGCGCGATGAGTCGACAAGCCCAGGCAGTGATCGCGGCAATAGACGAATGAGAGTGAATTTCAAGGGATTGGTTTGGTGACCGAGCCGAAGGGTTGAGAATGCAGCTGGAGGTGGTTTCGAGGCGGAGAAATCGAAGTGCGACCGAGACAGACAACAAACGCGTTGCAGACGCAGCGTGACCTCGTTGTGCGTCAACCAGAATGCGGGCCAACCAGCTAGCCAGAAATAGGCAGCGAGCAATAGATTGGGAGTCTTGCGGCGCAATTAGCAAGGCCCAACAGGTGCAACCAACGAGAGCGCAGTGCGCCTACCAAGTCACAACCAGTGGGCGTTGGGGGAGAAGGGGAGGAGGGGGGGGGGGGGGGGTGCAATGAAGAACGGCCAGCTGGTGTGCCGTTCCAGCGATAAGATTAGAATCAATTCAATTGAAGGAAAGAAAGGAAAATAGTAAAGAAGGACAAGAGTGGTAATTAAATTGAATTGGCAGAGGGAAAAAAAAAAAAGAAAAGAAGAGAAAGGGGACGAAGAAGGGATGAGAGGGAGTGAATTCAAGGCAGTGCCGGAAAGTAGTTGGTGGACAACGAGGACTGTAGACGGACTCGTTGGGCGGGGAAGACACACACACACGGAAAGGAAGGGGAAGAGGAGGAGAAGGAGGAGGAGAGGAGAGAGAAACAAGAGGGAGAGAGAGGGAGGGAGAGAGAGACACACAGAGAGAGAGAGAGAGAGAGAGAGAGAGAGAGGCACGGCAGGGGTGAATTGGCTGGCCTCAGGTATACACACCAGTCTAATAATTCCGGCTGGAATGGGGACCATTGATCTGATACGTATGTAATATTGGAGGAGATTAATTGGAATCAATTGGGTGCAATTGCATTACTGAATGAATTAGTTGAATAACTTGATGAGCCAGAAGTCCCGAAGCAACCCTTGGAACCCGTGCAGCACGAGAAGTAGGTTATTTTGATGTCAACAATCGGCATTCGTCGGCATCCAACAACGCATCCAATCCTGGACGACGGACGGGCAGTCCAGTGTCAGTGACAGGAGGGAGAGTAACTTACGTGCTGTCGCTGACTGACGGACGGACTGACATTGCGTCCCCCGCTGCAAGTGTATCACGTGATGTAGACCTGACTTGGCGGCCGCCCGATCGGGAGGCGAAAGACAGACTCCACACTCTAGACACATCACCGAGCAGATCCATTCCCTCCGATGTGACTGCAACCTGACCTACACAGTATTATTTGGGTATAAACACCTACCGTGGATGACTTGAAGTTAACCAGAATTCCTACCTGGAAGGATTATGATACATAACTATAACTCATCGTCCGGTCTGGTCAGCATCATCATCCTCATGTCATCATGTCTCATCCACGCCAAGCTTCTTTGAAAAGTGGCAAACCGTGGGAGTGCCCCTGGACTAGTTAGCATCATCGACTGCGATCAGCCTGATCGGCTCCGCCTGGCCTCGGAACAGGACGCTGCTCGAATTCCCCACAGGGCACAATCGCCCTCACCTTGCATGTCCTTCGGTTTAAAATGGATGACTATGTCACTGAGTTCTGCGGCTTTTACGCAATACATATGTGACCGCATCATACAGACCGACAGCCCCTCCTGAGCTTGAAATAAGCTTGAAATTAGGTATCCTACTCATACACGGTCTGACTTGGCCTAACAACAAAAGACAATTGGTTGCCCAACGTGATTACAGCAGCACTGTGCTTGAAGATTAATGTATAGTCATTATATTTTATTTTTGGAGTCATTAAGGCCTTCAGCCATTCAGGCTTCCAGAAACTGTTCCACGCGATCGATTAGATCCGCTTTCTTTCCCACCCCAGAGCGGCCATGAGACGCGAGGAAGTCCTTCAGAATATTGACCGTGAGCTGCATGACGTATTATTAGCCTGATTCGCATACTCCATACGGTGCATCAGACCTACCCTCGACAGATTGTTGTTGTGGTAATGCCGGCGCACTTCTTCCTCAATGTTGTTGTCCGCTTCTACTTTGACCTTTTTGGCTGGTTTGCTCGACTCTTCTCCGTCGTCAGGGGCTCGGCTCTTCGCTCCTCGATGGATCAGGGTACTGGTGGCGGGCTTCTTCCCCGCGACTTGGGCGTACTGCTTCTCGAGCTCGTCGGCCCATGATAAGACATAGTCCCCAGCGCGCTGACACGGGTGATCAGTGATGGTTATGGGTTGCGCAGGCGTAGATTCCTACCTTGTCAATTTGTCGATATTTCGGTACCGTCTTGTCTTCCGGCTTCTCGGGCAGATCTTCATCTAGAGCCAGTGCTTGCAGGATGCGATAATGCCACTGTAATGCTAAGATAGTTTGAGCGTGCAGCCTCTCCACCGTAGAGGTCAGGCAGGCACTTACAGGGATTCGGGTATTTTAGAGGTTCGTAGCAGGCCTTAGGAAGTTGCAGCTGCTGGATGATCACACGCATCTGGTCGATCAACGGTTCTGGGGCCACATGCAGGGTGGTCTCGGGGTTCTGGCGAACATCATCGGCGTAGGGTAGGGGCAGGATCCACATGCCCGGGGGCATCTTCTGCACCCCGTGTTCATCGACCTTCTCCTCCCCGGCGATCATGGCCCCAAGGACCGGGTTCGCAGCCCGACGTGGGATAAACCAGACAAGGGCTATTTTGTTCTGCCGCAGGAGCGTCTGTTGCAGGGCGGAGAACACGCGGGTCGAGCCCACATAGTCCTCTTCCGATGGATAAATGAAGTAAGGGTGTTTCATGTTCGCCCAGAAAGGGAGCGCAGGGGCCGGCTTGAAGCCGATGATGCGAATGACCGGATCGCCGAAGTTCTTCAATTCCTTCTGCTCCTCGGGGGTAAAGATCACTTGATCTCCGCCAAACTTGTAGGCTTTTCGAATCTCCGTTTTCTCCACTGTCCGCGCCGTGTCGTCGGCAATTTGCGTGGTCACTCCTTTGATGATCTCGGGCTTCTCGCCTCCGAGCCAAACATAGCAGTTCCGCGCGGGCGCTTGCCTCCGGAAAAGTATGTAGCCTGAGACGGAGATCTTGAGATTGGGCCCGAGTTCGAGGGGCATGTTAGAGAAATGAGTACGTCGAGGGACGGATCGTGATTTGACACTGGACAATAAGGTATTGAGGAGGGAGATCCCATCTGCAGTGGCCGTTGAGACTTTGGAGTCGGGTTGCAGATACGCCGGAGCATCTGGGTCACTCGGGGAAGTTTTGTAGATAATATCCTTTACAGCTGATCAGTATCGTGGAGGCCACGCCTGAGGCCGGAACCTTACATCATAGAACCTGGAGCTGTCGAACTCGTGTTCCGGCTGGGAGATGGGAAAGAGCTCGATGGTAACCCCAAGATCATACAGATCCTTCGCCCGTACTGTGGCGGCCGACCGTAAGGCTTTGTCTTCACTGTGGGGACTGTCGTTATCGGTAACTATGAACAGTCGCCGCGACAGGAAGTTGGGCGCTTTGGATGTGAATATCTGGTTGGCACAGAACAGTACATTCGCCATTGAGACTTGCTTCTGCGCCGGCCGCAGAATGTCTCGGGCTTTGCCTGCATCTTCCACCAGGGCTCGCAGGTCCTTGACTTCTTGTGCAGATGGGATATCGAGGTCGGTGAATAGATAGCAGTTGGGATAGGACAGGTCGCCTCGGCTGCCTTCGTCTTCATCGTAGAACTTGGACGCCTGCGTTCCGTAGAGTAAGACCCCCATCATATCCTGGGGGTTGGAGATGATTCGCTGTTGCATTAAGTGATAGGCGCATTTTAACGCTGCGGTGACCGGGGATTCTTCGACGGGTTTCCTGGGGTCGGAGGATGGGCGCGGGGTGAGCATCGAGTCGCTGACTTCGATGGCGAAGAGCACCGCATCTTTTACCGATTTGTAGTTCTATCTCTGATCAGTGGGGCGTTGCTTAACATGGAGAGAAGGTCATTTATGTACGGATTCATCAACTTCCTCTTCCTCCTCTTCGCCTACTTCATCGTCTCGTGGCGGATTACCGTCGGCCATAGTCGGGGTTTAAGATGTAATAATTTAGTGAATTAAGCAAATTTCTCAACCAAAGAAGCAGAGATGGATTGTGGTGTGGGAAGAAGATTATATTTCATGGTCTAGAGGTTAGGCGAGAGTTGAGTGGTCTCTGCCTGGCTGTGGTTCTGCTGCCTGGCAGACACAGACACACACACACTCTCTCTCTCTCACTCTCTCACATAATAATCGCGGTGACGCGCTTTGGCGGGCGGTCAGAGAGCGGAAGACAACGCGGGGAGAACACGTAAATCATGTGATCTGGACTTTCTCCCCCGATTGAAGCTGATGACTGTTAGCTGGCGGTGATTGGCGCATCGGAGAAGTAGGCCTCCGTCATCAGATCCCGTTCTGTTCGAGGCTCGGTCGGCTTTCTCAGCTTGGCTGTTCCACTAAGCCCCCATGCCATCAAATCTGTCCTTGTCACGGTTTGTGCCTGTCCTGAATTTCTCTTGACTCTTTTCCAATCGGCCTCAAGTTATTCTCTCTGTTCAGATTGATCGCCGTACTGTCGAAGAGGCAGTATCATATGACAGTCATGGCTCTTCGTCGCCCATTCACTCTCCCTCGGCAAGTGTTGCGACCGGCAACTCGCGCTTCCTTCAACTACTTTTACGAACAGAGACAGGGCCTTGCAACCGCAGTACCTCCGGTTACTCAAGATGCGACCGGCTCCAAGGGCCCAACGGCCATGGTCTTTCTCAACATGGGCGGACCATCGACAACTAGCGAGGTGGAAGACTTTCTGAGCAGGCTATTCGTACGTGCCCCCGGGGAATGCTTCTTGTTCTCACCGCACTCCCCAACTAAATGAACTCCCTACACCAGGCCGATGGCGATTTGATCCCCCTGGGTCGACTACAGTCCTATCTCGGACCATTGATTGCAAAGCGAAGAACACCCAAGATTCAGAAGCAGTATGCAGAGATTGGCGGAGGGTCGCCGATCAGAAAGTGGTCGGAATACCAGTGTGAGGAGATGTGCAAGCTGCTGGATAAGATCAGCCCAGAGACCGCCCCCCACAAGCCCTACGTTGCCTTCCGCTACGCTGCGCCGTTGACAGAGACGATGTACGCGCAATTGCTACAGGATGGATTCGGGAACGGAAAAGGTGGACGGGCGGTTGCCTTCTCGCAGTACCCGCAATACTCTTGCTCGACTACGGGCAGCTCCTTGAATGAGCTGTGGAAGTGGAGGAATCGCCTGGAGGGACCACGGGCCAATGGCGACGGGCAACCAGCTGGCGCCATCCAGTGGAGCGTCATTGACCGATGGCCAACGCATCCGGGTCTTGTTGAGGCGTTTGCGAAGAACATCGAGGATCAATTAAAGACCTATCCCGCGGACAAGCGAGACGGGGTGGTTCTGTTGTTCTCCGCCCACAGTCTGCCCATGAGCGTGGTCAATCGCGGTAGGCTGGCCCTTATTTCCCGACCCTCCTCCCACGTGACACTGCTTGCTAACGATGATGTGTAGGCGACCCCTATCCGGCAGAAGTTGCTGCCACTGTTCACGCGGTGATGCAGCGACTCAAGTTCAGCAACCCTTACCGATTGTGCTGGCAATCTCAGGTCGGACCGAAGGCTTGGCTAGGAGCACAGACGAGTGATACCGTGCAGGAGTACGTGAAGCGGGGTCAGACCGACATTGTTCTGGTTCCCATTGCCTTTACCAGCGATCACATTGAAACTCTCTACGAGCTGGATCTCGAAGTGATGGAGGAGGCGAACCACCCCGGTGTCAAGCGTGCGGAGAGTCTGAATGGGAGCCCTATTTTTATTCAGGCTCTGGCGGACGTGGCTCAGGAACATCTTCGTTCGGGGGAGCTGTGTTCCCTGCAGATGACGTTGCGCTGCCAGGGATGCAAGAGTGAGCGATGCTTGGAACAGAAGAAGTTCTTTGCGGGACAGCGTGCTTCCTCGTTGGTTCTCTAATTGTACGATTATCCGGGCTATCAGGATGGCAGGCGTCTATATTCTTCTCGCATCTTTTTCTTTCTTTTTTTCTTTTCCTCTCTAATTTTGGGGATAGTCTTGGGGATAATCTTGGGGATTGTGATAAATGTAAAAAGTGATTTGCGGTACATTTACGCATTACGGATTATTGTCTTCAAGCGGAGAGTCGGGGTTCCGGAGGGCCGATGGCTTATCGGCGATTGGCTTCTGCTTCCAAGGTTCTTATCAAACTTCCTTGCTTCACCATTCATCACCTGAAACCAACAACAAACCCCTGCTGGTTATTACTACGCACTACGGACTACTGCGAAGCTCAATGCATGCATGCCATTGTCCCGTCAATCACGTCACTCCTTCGTGATACATCACTCGCTCATTCGAATCCTGGAGTTCTATCTCTCTATCTCCGGCGCATTTTGAACACGTCTGTTGAGCTCGATTGATTGATTGATTGATAAGCAACTGCAACTCAACCACAACCAGTTCCGGGGTTATCGCACTTCCCCCCTCTTGGATTTACAGGCAGCAGGCATCTCTTAATTGGACTCTATGTAATCTCTCTGGTGCCTTTGTATTTTCAGATTAACGCTCTATCAATCATGACGGGCATTTCACCACGAACGAAAGCGCCTCCAACCGCCGCCTCGGCTCATTTTGAGAGCCACGAACAGACGCCTCTACTGGGCGACTCAAGCAGCCCATCGCCAGACTCCGACGCGGCGAGTCTCTCGCCCTCAGGTCACGACGATGACCAGGACGAAAGCCCTCAACGCTCATGGCGGAAGGCTAGCGTGAGTTCCAACTCCTCCCCTCCCACACATCCTGCAACCGCTGATAAAGCTCTCGGCCCAGGTCTTCTGGCTATTCCCCTTCCTGATCCTGTATATGGTGGGATTCGGCGGCACAGCGGTGCCGAAAATCAACCTGATGGTGACTCTGATCTGCAAAGACTACATGGCCAAGAAAGCCACCGCGAACCCCGGGTTCACGTATCTGCCGGTGATCATCGGCAACGACAACTCGCAGTGCCAGATCCCCGAGGTGCAGTCGCAGGTGGCGCGGTTCCAGCTGTACTTCAACCTGGTGGCGGGGATCCTGTCGGCGCTGGCCTGCCCCCGGTTGGGTCACCTCTCCGACCGCTACGGCCGGACGAGGCTGATCGGGCTGAGCGCGCTGGCGACGGTGGTCGCGGAGGCGATCACCATCTTCGTGGCCGCGCAGCCGGACCTGGTCTCGGTGAACGTGCTGCTGGTGTCGGCCTTTGTGGACGGGCTGGGCGGCTCCTTCACGACGATCATGGCGCTGACCGCCTCCTACGCCTCGGACTGCACCGTCCCCGCCAAGCGCAGCGTCGCCTTCGGGTACCTGTACGGGGCGCTCTTCTCCGGCCTGGCCGCGGGCCCGTTGCTGGCGGCCATCCTCATCAAGCGCACCGGCCAGGTGCTCGACGTCTTCACCTCCTCGCTGGGACTGCACCTCCTCTTCCTCGTCACCATCGTCGCTGTCGTCCCGGAATCGCTCTCCCCGGCGCGCCAGGCAACCTACCGCGACCGCCACCGCAAACACCAGCACGACCAGCCGCCCGCGACCATCTGGGCGACCCTCAACCCCAAACACCTCCTCACCCCACTCGCCGTCCTCTTCCCCCCGGTCGGGCGGCCCAGCGCCCTCTTCCCCAACCCGGGGGGCGCGACCCCGGCCCTCCGCCGCAACATCATCCTCCTGACAGCCCTCGACACGCTAGCCTTCGGCGTCGCCCTCGGCACCGCCCAGGTCATCATCATGTACGCCGAGTACAACTTCGGCTGGGGCAACGTGGAGTCGAGCCTCTTCATCTCCACCGTCAGCGTCATCCGCGTCCTCAACCTCTTCGTCCTCTACCCGCTCATCACCACCTTCTTCCTCGCATCCCCCGAAGGCCCCCATCCCCACACTCCCGACCGAAAGATCCCCGGCTCCACCCCCGGCGAACTCACCCTCATCCGCCTCTCCATCCTCCTCGACACCCTCGGCAACATCGGCTACGCCCTCGCCCCCAACGGCGCCTGCATGACCCTCTCCGGCATCACCATGGCGCTGGGCGGCATGGGCGTGCCCCTGTTACAGTCCTCGCTCACGAAACACGTGCCCCGCGCGGGTCTGGGCCAGATCCTTGGGGCGAAAGGGTTGCTGCACGCCTTGGCCCGCATCTTCGCGCCTACCGTGTGTAGTTTGATCTACAGTGTGACGGTGGGGAGATTTACCCCGGCGATTTTTGTGTGTTTGGCGGTGGTTTTTGGGGGCGCCTTTGTGGGAAGTTGGGGGATGAGGGCTTTTGGTAGGTTTTTTTTTTCTTTCCGGGAGCGGGGGAAGAGGTGTTTCGCTGTTGGGACTCAATGCTAACTTCTATCTGCAGTTGGTCTAGATGATTCTTCTCTACGGAGTCCCTCATCTGCACAGTACACCGAAGAAGGAGGAGACGGAGGAGAACACGACACAAACACAAGCTCAACAGCACGCGGCGAGGAGGTCCGGCTAGCGGATGAGCCGGTCCTGCCTTGATCCTGTCATCACATTACACCACTAGGTACTAATGGACGGCAGACACGGTAAGCGAAACCAATTTGCTAGTTAAATACTTCCTTACCCTGTATAATCCCCTTCTATTACGGCTATATGCACCCAAAGGCCGGTGTGTGCACTTTCCCCCATGCAAACCCATGTCCAACGGCGTCTGTGTCTTGTTATGATATTAATTACATGCTATGACTATTATCTATCACTCATAATACATCCCCCCAGCGACAAAAGAAAGTATGTACCCATCATCACATATAAACAACCAGCAACCAGCGACCAGCAAGAAAGCTCGGGTCATCACCATCCCAAGAAAAAAAAAACAGGTATTAAAAGTACCAGACCGTGGTCGTAAATATTATACAGGCAACACCCGAGAGAAAGGGGGGTGAATGAATCAGTAGAAAAGCTTCGATCAGCAGAATGCTTCGATCAGCATGTACGGGAAAATCACCACGCAGGCGGTCCAGAACACCATAACACATTGCCACAGCATCAGCGGGAGTTTGTACAAGGGGGATTCCGTGATGAGCAGCCACAGCGACAGGAACGCCACGGAGAAGAAATGCCCGAACAGCACGGCAGGCTTCTTGGTCAGGCCGCCGAGGAGGCCCATGGGGCCGGAGGTCATGCCGAGTTGGAAATAGCGGAAGCAGCCGCGTTGAAGGGCGCGGAGATTTTCATCTGATCACCCAAAAAGAAAAAGAGGTTAGTTGGGTTGTGACGGAGAGCGGAAGGAAAAGGGGGAGGGGGGCCCACCATTAGCGGCAAAAAGACTGTACAGAGCCATCGCGAGAATGTTAATGACGGAGGATCCGTTCTTGCGCTGCCAGTGGAACGACGAGAGCTGCTGCAGAACCCGGTCAGTGTCGCCGAGGCTGGGCACCTTTTCCGGACTCAGCAGCTCGCGGAGCACCACGACATCGTTGAACGCAACGGTCATGCCGCCGCCAGTCAACGGATGACGCATGTTGAGGGCATCGCCCAGAATAACCAAGCCCGGGGTCTTGTTGCGCGCGCTCGGGAGGTACGAGTTGGGCATGGACCGCAGCTTGCCCTCGTCCAGGGCTGCGACAAATGCCGGTCGAACAGACTCCGGCAGCGAGGGCAGGACGACATTGCGCATGTGGCCCTTGACGCCGCCGTTCTTGACCGAGGCAGACGGGAGGTTCTCCGGGATGTCAATCAAAATCCGGGTCTCGTGGGTGCCGATCTGGTAGATGAGGATCGGGGCGTTGTCGCTGAGGAGCACATGGCCGTAGTACGGCTTGGGCATGACAGGGTCAATCAGCTCCAGCCCCCAGAAGCGTGAGCGCACCTCGGGGGTGCGCGTGTGGTGTTGCTTGCGGAACTTGGAGGCGTAGCCGTCGGCCACGACGGTGAGCTGGCCGAAGTAGCAGTCCTTCATGTCCTTGGTCACGCACTCGACGCCAAGGACCTGCTTGGTGTGCGCGCATGTAATCAGCTCCGTGGCCTTGGTCTCGACCACGGTGACGTTGGGACACGCCATGGCCGCCGCCCGCAGCTTCATCACGAACCGGCCGTGGTGGAAGCAGCGGCCTTGCGGCGGCGGCGTGGTCGGGGACGGCTTGGGGTACGGGATCTCCACGGGCTTGCCAAAGTATGTGATATAGTAACCCTCCACGGGGATCGCGTCGATGCCCTCCAAACAGTCGGCGAGTCCGAGTTGCTCAAGGGCCTGAACACCGCCGGGCTGGAGCAATTCTCCCACAATGCGATCGGGCTCCTTCAGCGAGTTCTCCAGGAGCAGCACACTCCGACCTTGTCTCCCTAGTGTCACAGCCAAGGCACATCCCAGAATGCCGGCACCCACGATCACGACGTCGGCGTCGTGGTGGGCCAGTCTGCGTTGTTTGGCCGCATCAGCGGAGGGGGTGGCATGGCCATTGGCGACCGCGGTGGCCATTGTGCGATGGGAAAGGGCGGGAAAAGGTCAGAATCGACGAGGTGAAGCAGATCGGAAGAGGGCGCAGGGCATATTTCGTCTGCAACAAAGGAAAGGGTAAGAGAAAGGGGTGAGGATGGCTGGTATAAGCGTGAAAGGGGGGGGGTTTGTAGGAGGAAGAAAAAGTGGCGGAGGGAGGGAGCCAAAGAGAGCGAGCGAGAGAGAGAGAGAGAGAGAGAGAGAGAGAGAGAAAGAGAGTGGCGTGACACGCTGACATGTGAAAAACACCAAGCAGTAGCCACTATTCCCCATCCAGTAATTTCAGGCACCGTACGATTCTTTTTTTTGCTGCTCTAGAGACAACATCACCTCATCCTCATTGTGACTGATATCCATACCTTTGCTGATATTTTGCTGATACTCTTGCTGATATTTTGCTGATACTCTTGCTGATACTCTTGCTGATACTCTTGCTGATACTCTTGCTATTACTTCGTAGCGCACTAGTTCGAGCTCGTACTCCGCGAAACCATTACTCTCATACCCTTGTCTATAACTAGTTATGTACAAATGGAACCAGTATAGGATTCTTTCCCTAGTAAATCAAAAGGATATCATAGAACGTGAGTGAAGCATAATAGTCACCACCAATCCCTTCAACACTTGATATTCTCTCCTCCCGTCGTCCACGACTCATCCAACGCTCGCTCCTCATCCATTTCGGCGAGAGTTTTCACGCGGCGACCGCGGGGATTTCGTCCCAGCGCAGCCTCCAATTCATATTCCTCATCCCACTCCACAATCATCGATGGCACATCCTCCAGTCGGAAAATTCTCGGGGGGTTCGGAGCTTGCTTGAACTCGCTGCGCCGGGTCTGCTTCACCCGCGGGTTGTGAACCACTTCCCACTGCGGGTTCTCCTTGCGTTCGAACCGCTCGACTACCAAGCCAGCGACACGCGTGAGGTAACTCTCGTACTTGAGCAGATTGGGCATACTATCGAGGTGGCTTTGGGAGCGGTGACGTAGCCGACCAACAATGCCACGGACTTCGACGATGAAATCGGTCCCAACTCTCTTCGGCTGCCATGACAGGGCAGTCAGCAAACACCACCGAACACCCAAGGGATTGTCGGCCAGCGCGAAAGCCCGCAGGAACATCTTCAGGCAGACGTCGTCGAACCGCGTGGTGTGCCGGTGACGTGACGCATAGACCGCGCCCAGGAGATCGAGTGCCTGATCGGGCTTTTGCTCGTAAATCAGGCGGCGACAGAACGAGACAAGCATGTGGTGTTTGACGATCAGATCCCTACCGGACGAGCACAAGTCGTAGAAGCGGAGGACCGCGAGCTTGATATGTTCCCCGGGGACCCCATCATTGATTTCGAACACCTGGCGAAAGAACATGGGTTGGAACCGAGTCACGGCGCGAATGCTGCGCCAGTCGGATTCGATCAGCTCTCGGGCGGCTTGGATCCCCTTCTCCAGGATGGTGGCCGCCACGGCCATCTCAACGTGCATCTGCTTCAGGTGGAACCTAGCAGCCTTGGCGGCCTCGTAGTATTTCAGAGCTTCGACGAACTTTCCATTATGCATCTGGTGGGCCATCAACCGATGGAGCTTCTGATACTGATCCACCGGCCGCCGCGATGACTCGGCCTCTTGCATCCGGTGAAAGAAGGGCGACATCTCCTCAGACATCGGCATCTTGTTAAGTTCAACACCAGGCAACGAGTGCTGGTCGTAGCCCAGGATCCGCTGTGACGCGGCGGACTGTCCGTACTTCATTCGTGCCGCTTGCAGCATCTGCCAGAAACCCACCGGGGAGTGTTCGAGGGCGTGACGCCGTGCCCGAAGCATCTCCAGAAACTCGAATTCATTGATCAGTTTCGGCCATTTGCGCTCCCGGCCATAGCGCAAGAACTCATGTATCATCTCTCGATCGCCCTTCTGCACCAAGGCCTCCAGAATGTGCTTGTACAAGACGCGATCAGGGACAATCTTGAAGTCATTCAAGTAGCGATACAAGAACTCTCGGATCTCCTCCCCAGTATGCGTCACCCAGAATTCAAGGAAGATGCGGTCAAAGACGGGGATGATATCGGCCTTGCGATACATGAAGCCAAGCTGTCGCATTTCTTCGAAGCCGGCATAGACCCCCTGCCAATCACACCGCATGGCATACCCCAGCAGCAGCAGCCCTTTGGTGCGACAGCGAAGCGGGATTTCATAAGTTTCTGCCATGTGCTTCGCCAGGGCCTCAGCGTCAGCATAGCGGCCAAACTCGACATACGCCTTGATCACCGGATTGAATAGTTTATCGGTGGGCTTCTTCCCGGTGCGAGCGAGAACCTTCAACAACTTGTGCAGTTGACCATTCAAGAGCTCAATGCTCCGCGTCTTCCTCCAGAGTCCGGTGAGGTACGCTCCGCATAGACCGCAGCCGATATCCTGCTCCAAATTCCGGAGAAGGAACCACTTCGCCGTCGTCAGTCTGCGAGACTCGACCAAGCATCGGAGAATAATATCCACCATGTCCGCGGTAGGCTTGAACTGGTGCATATACCGCGAGTAGATCGCAGCCGCAGACTCAATGTTGCCATTCTTCGACAGGGAGAGGATCATCGTCCTCCACATCTCAAAGGAGACCCGATCCACCGCCTCCACACGCTCGAAGACATTGCGCGCAAGATGAACGTTCTCAGCCTTGCAATTGGCAAGAACCGCCCGTTCAGCCAGTTGCTTCCGGTCCTCGGAAAGACCCTGAAGCGTCTCGGGATGAAATTCCAGGAACAGCTGGGCTGCAGGAACCGGGCGGTTGTTCTCCAGGAGCCAATCAATCCGCGCCATGATCGGCAGGTGATCCAACCCCTTCAATATCTCTTTCTCTCGCACAAGACTATTTCCGTCCGTGAATGACTCCCCCTCCCCTTCCATCTGTTGTTGTTGCTGCTGCTGCTGCTCATGTTGCTCCTGCCGCTGTTCCCGCAGCAATTCCTCCGCTGCTTCTTGCAGGGCAATGGTCGACTGCTGCTCTTGACCTCTGCTGCCGCTACCACCCTGCGAAGCCAACCCATCCAACCCGGAATTCGTCTGCAGATTCGTAGGACCCGGTCTCGTATCTCTCAACAACTTCTCCGCCTGAGCCTGTGCCGACCTAGAACCCGGCAAAGAGATGTACATATCCGGGAAGACACCGCTGGCGCTAGCGGTATTATCTGACTGTTTCCCTTCCGTCCCTTCCTGTAACAATTCCGACGGTGGGGGTGCCGCTGCTGCAGCTGCAGTTGCAGCTACCGCGGCAGCGGCAGCAGCAGCCGCCGCGCGATCCTGCTCCTTTAGGGACTCGACGCCATTAAACTCGCCGGCCTCGGCGGCCTCGATCATGCGAGCGAGCCGTTTCGCAGCGGACGTGGCATCGTAGTTGGGAGCGGAGGTTTGAAGGGCGCGCTTGTTTTCGACAATGCGTTCGGCAATGGTGATTCGGCGGTGGACATCGTAGGTTATCGCGGCGATGGTGCAGAAGCCGCCCACGGTCGATCCGGCCAGAGCCAACCGTCGAAGGACGCGGAGGGCGTTGCGCGAGGGAATGGCCGGTGTTGTGCCGCGTGCGGCGGCTGCTGCTGCTGCTGCTGGTGCTGCCGCTGGTGCTAGTGGCTCGGGGGGCATGATTGTGTTTGGTGGTGTGATTCAAGGCATGACAGAACCCAGCGGCGGGGGGTGCAGGCGACTTTTGAGAGTACTTAGACCATTAGAAGCACAAGTAATATGGTATAAGATCTATATGATCAGGAAAAAAAAGACAAAACTCGAAATGGGGAAGAAGAATTGGTCCTGGAGAAAGCGCGGAGAGAGGAAGAAAGTCAATAAAATCCCAAGTCGAGTTAAGTTGAGAAGCCGGCGATTATTTTGCGGGAAGTTTGGTCCCTCCCGTCCGCCCTACTCGCATTTTCCTCCGGCCGATTGCCGGATCAAACCACCCCCAGTCTGACTCCGAAGTTCGTAACTCAACCAGTAGTTAGTCACTAGTAGTAGCCAATGCACGGTATTCCGGAGTAACTACAATAATGAACGTGGAAATGGCTCCATGAGTATATTTGTCAACTTTTTTTTTTCTCATTTCTTGTGAAGATTTTCTTTCCTATGTAAATCTCCCAATGTCTAGACTCCGCCCCATTTCGCATCCTCGCTGCCGTAGAAATTGTGAACACAAGGTGAAGAAAAGCAGGGCAGGGACACGATTCTGATACTAGAAGCACAAAACACACAGACATGAAACAGGTGAGGTATGCAAATAATGATGAGTAGATAACAAAAGCAATAAACCCACTCGCCTGGCACCCTGCTATGTTGGTATATCGACAATGGTAACTGATGATGATGATGATGATGATGATCATGCCGGTGGGATATAATATTCAAAGATGCGTTGCCAGCCACAGAACACAGGAACAAGAACAGAACAAGAACGAAGAGAAATGCCAACAAAAGGGGCCAGGATGTATAAGAGACAATGCCGGCACTCCATTTCTGTATATCGAGGGTCCCCAGGCCCATGCTGGGTGATTGTTTTTGTGTATTCCATTTCCCCTTTTGAGCACCAAAAGACGTTGAAGAAATGCCGTCGGTGACCGTCCAAATTCGGGCAGTGCAATTGACGCGAACAGAAAGCAAAACGTGAAAGATGAAGACAGGGCACATATACCGTATGCAATTCATGCGAGTAACCCGTGGTAGCCAGCCATACCCCATGGTTGCCAATTTCCGTGATTCAACCTTGCAAAACGCCAATATTCAACATGAAAAAGAAAAGGAAACGTATCATATACCACCATGAAAGTAGCAAAGCAAGTGCATCCCAGATCATATCATATGCAAGAGGACATCGCCTCGTTTATACGCTACCAAAATACCTTCCCTCAGATGGGGAAGGGTACTCTTGGCAGAGAAAGTCAGATCGCACCGAAGCAAAAGATTGCGCTGCGATGAGAAGCTATACAAAGCAATGTGACATCGCGCCCGTACTTTCGATGTCTGAGATGGGGTGATTGAGTCTCGACCAAACAGTCGGAAGCTCGGCTCAATCACGAGGAACCGAACAGCAAGGAGCATTTCGGGGTTGCAACGCGTGCCGAGAGCGACGGTAAAGCATAGACCGGAGTTTCATGTCCTTAGCCACCTTTTCGCAGAGATTCATCTGCGGGCAGTGGCTCGGCATGGCTATGTAAGCCATGTCTGTGTTCGGTAGAATGCTTAGCATTCCGTTTTGGCTTTCTGCTCTTAGGCATCTGCCAGCCGCCGCTGGCATGGTTCGCGGTGGACTCCTGAGTTGAACTGACCCCATTAGACTTCCGTGACTGAGAACCCACGTTGCGTCTTTCGTTATCCCCGGACCCAGACGTTGAGTTGTGGTTCTTGGGTTTGGTCTTATGGGTACCTCCATTGGCTCTTTCGGACGACTCGACACCATTGACACGGCGCTTGCCACTGGTCGGTGCAGGTTGCGGTTCCGTCGCAGAAGCAGGACCCGGGGCCGACGCTCCTTTCTCCGGTGCGTGAGCCTGTCTTGGTCTTGAGGGTTCTTTTTCCAAATGTTCTTGGTGGTTGGGAGCATTCTTGGGCTTCTCAGATCCATTACGAACCACAGGCTCGACCGCTTTCTCTGAGTTGGACAGATGCAGACTTTGAAGGCGACTGGAAAGCAGACTATGCTTTCCTGAATGACCATTGACAAAAGGATCGCCGGTCTTGCCCGCCGGATATGATTCTATCCCCTGTCGTGCGAAATATGGGGTCGGGTCGATCTCAACGGAGCTAGTGTCCGGATAGTCTTGGGAGAACGAGTCGGAGACACTAGCAGGAGTGTCTGTGTTGAGCTCATCCGAAGCCGACGTACAATGGCTCATGGTAGCATAGGGGTCATACCCTTCCGCCGAGGCTGAGAAACGCGGTTCACTAGGAGGTACAGAGCCATCCACGATCAGAGGACCGCCACGATCGGCAGAGCGTGCCGGACGAGAAGCTGCACGCGGTCGTGTGGAAGTAGACTTGGCGGCAAAAAGACTACCGCTATCTAGTCCTTGGCCAGATACGTCATTGGGCGGGATCGAGGGCATATATTCCTGGGAACTTGCGACAAAAGGCATCATGCCGCCATTTGGCATGTTAAGTCCGACCGGAGACGAGAGGGAGGACATCAGAGCATTTTGATGATATGCCTGCAATTGCGGCGAGGTCGCCAGGTAGTACCCCACATATTCGTTCGTCCGGTTCTCGTCGAAGTAGCCCGGGCGAGAAACGTTCGGTAGACTGCTAGGCATGAAGGAGCTCTCAGTCTCACCTAGAGTGTTGTCTGGAGAACCGGGCATGTTGCGTGACTTCGATGTCGGCGAACCGTCTGCAGCGTGCGCAATGGAATAGAGCGGAGCATAGCTGGGAAGGGAGTTGACGGGCCGGGCCGGTTGCGAGTGTGCTCGAAGTGATCCGCTTGGTGACCCGTTCGCAACTGATGACCGGCGGGGACTGCGTCTGAGGTCCGGCATGGCGGTGGCTGCTGACGGAGACGGTGGATTGGTGCTGCTCCCCTGCACACCAGGAACGGTGATCGGGAGGTACTGGGTGCTATAGTAGACCGGCTGGCGGACTGATGCACCACTGTGCGCTTGGTGATTCGTCGTTCCGGATCGTGATCGTGAACTGTCCTCCGTAGGCGTGTCTTGCTGCTGTGGCATAGGAAATTGAATGAACGGTTGCCGGATGAGGACGGGCGGAGGCCGCCCTGTCAGAAGCGCCTGGTTTTGCAGTTGGAGTCGCAGTTCTTGTTCCTGGGCTTGAAGGATCTGAATTTGTTGGTAGAGATGATCATGCAGGAGATACTGAGCATGCTGGGCTTGCAGAGATAGTTCGGATGCACTCATACCGTTGGGTTGTCGGAAGCTATTCGACTTGTTGGGTGTGTTGGATGCCCTTCGGCCCCCTCCAGAATTTCCGCCACGGCCGAACTGATTCGAGTGCCTTCCGCCTCGGCCACCACCACGGCCACCTCTCGAGGGTGGCGGAGCTGCGGTGATGATGGGCCGCGGTTGAGGAGGCGGTCTTTCCCATGAACGCTCTTCTTCGGGCGGATACTCGTACTGTTCGCAGCAGAGTTCCAGATTGCCCTCGCTAACGGCCTTGAAGGCACGGCGAAGCTCCATGTGCACCCCTCGAAACGAGGTGTCGTCCGCGGTGTTACCCAGGTTTCGAGACGTATTGAAAGGCTCCTCAACGCACAAACGATTGTTCTGTAACAAGTGCCATCCCTTGGCCTCCTTTGACAGCAGCTTTCCCTCCCGTACTGAGATCACATTTTGCTCGTAGTCCAATTCGTGGCCATAGTACCTAAAGAAATGGAACAGCAATTCTCCAAGGGATTGCTTATTTTGTCGGCCAAACCCGACGAGAGAATCAAGGTCGTCATCGAAAGAGCAAACGATTCCGTCAGCTGTAGTTTTCTTCTTGTGGGGTCGAGCCTGGAGGCTCGGCAGAATGGGGGGTTCTCGCGTTTGCAAGAAATTGATAATCAGACAAATCCACGTATAAGAACTCAATGTTCCTCCAAGCCCTGTGTTTGACGGGTCAGCTGCATTCATCCACCAAAGGAGGGGTCACTGAAGCAGGGCAACAAAAGCGCCGGGCGGAGCTTGCGCTGCAGGCTATGGACCCAGAATCTGACACGTACCCGCATCGTTCAATATCCTCCGCTTTGTCCAATGTTTCACAATCATGGCCAGGGGCCGAACGCGCTCGTCCAACTCCACATACGTCCGGACCATTCGCGTGTTCTCCAAAGCCATGGTATTGTTAACGTTCATGTCACATGCCAATCGCAGCTCCGGGTCCCAAATCTTCACAATGGGGACTTTTGCGTGCGAAACGCAAACGACTCGCTCCATACCATCTGCAGTGTGAGACCGTTAGAGATGCGACACCCGATCGAGATCAAAGGGCACAGTTTCCTTACGTTTTGCGAGAACCTCCGCCAGCAGACACACGTGCTCCAGCTCTTTATAGGTGGTGGTTATACAGATGTCAACTATGCCTCGGGTCAGCCGCCAGTCCTCACACGGGATCATCTGCTTGCAGTCCCTGTCATCAGCAGCCAAGGCACATACCATCCGAATCACTCGAACAGAGTTTATTCCCCGACGACCCAAAAACATGAACCTTAATATTACATCCCGGCCACTGATCATTGAACAGTTTCTCCAGCTTGCGGACGAGCTGACGTCGTCGATCGTCGCTCTCTGCCGACGGTAGCAATCGATCGTAGACTTCCAGCATGTCGGCGGTGAGTCTCTGTTCCTCTTCGGGCTCCAGCCGCTCCTTTAAGCCCTCCTTCTCCTCCGGTAACAAGTCGGCACCTATGGAGTAGGGTATTCGTCTCCTGAAAAATGCCATCGCCGTCTCATACTGGCAGCCGCCATACTGTTTTCGCATCGAGGGGGGAAGGTGGGTGGACTCTGAGTGGGTAGAGCGGGGGGAGGTGCTCCCGTGGGGAGGCGAGGGCGTCCGGGAGTTGAAGGAGATTTTCCGCGCATGTTGATACGGGGTGGAGGGCAAGGAGTTGGATTGTTGCGAAGACAATGGAGGGCGGTTCTTTGCCTCCGGAGACGTATTGGTCGATAACTTCCACGGCATCATCGAGGCCTTTTCCGAGGCTAGCGGGGACTTTCCACCTTGTATGGAAGATCTATTAGCATTCCCATGAGTGTCTGAGAGCATATAGTGACTCCAACGTTGCCGCCAACGTTGGCTTCCAAGAAATTGCGATCGGAAAGAGTGCCACTGGTCGTATTCAACTGTCGGGGTGCGCAGATCCACCGAGGAAATTCCAACTTTGCGGACCAGAAACCGTTCAATCACCGGGGAATAGATAACCCGTCAACGATCGTACGCAGCGAACGGCGTACCCGAGGGAAACCACGACGGAGGAGGCAGTTGCTGCAAGGTGAATTATTCAGGAGGAAGGGGAGAAGTAGGCAACGGATTGCGAGGAAGTCGACAGAGAAATCGGCCGGCGACGGGGGTGGGTGGAAGAGGGAGAGGGTGTTGTTCAGCAAAAATGTCTTTGTGCTGCTTTCCACGGGGAAAGACTTCGCAGTCCCGGAGGTGGGATTTCCACCACAACGAAAGGAATTGAAGAGAAACAAAAGTAGAGAAATCCAGGAGGTAAAAGCGAGACGAGAGTTAACGCTCTTTTTCCCTCGACGAAAGTCAGAAAAGTGGAGGAGGAGGTTTTTGGGGGGGGGAAGGAGTGGAGGGAGGTTGGAATTGCGTAGGTGGAATTGTTCAACCGATCGACCACCGGGCAGATGATAGACAATGTTTTAAGGGGAGAGAGAGCGATAGACTCTAGCGGGTAAGGGCACAATCCAAAAAAACCACACAAGATAGAGGGCGGGTAAAGCCGAGTTTGGACAAAAAGAGCACAGTGAATGCTGTTTCTTCAAGTTATACCGTGTCTGTTCTTCTTTATTGATTTTTGGGGGGGTTGTCTTTTCAGATTGGAAGGACCAGCCTGGTGCAGTTGGTTGAAGAGGAGGGAAATATGAAATATAGCGGGAATGCCAGTAGGTTGCTGGGAAAGGTTAATCGAGCAGCGGGCGGCGGAAGGGGAGAATCTAATTGAGGGCGATCGACTGGAGAGCAGCACGGCAGTAGCAGTCAGTGGCAGTAGCAGCAGCAGCAGCAGTACGGAATACTATGTATGCACCTTAGTTACCTTAGTACTTACTTTAGGGGGGGGCCATTGCTGCTCTAATCCCGCCGGCCAACGGCGGTAACTGGTGTCGAAACGGGCACGGCCGGCACAGCGGCAGTTACTGCACTTATTGCGCCGGGGTAACTAAACTACTGGAACTACACTATTCCTCCACTGCTAGTTGAACTTGCGCCGCACTTTCCAAGGACACACCACAACTGAAAAAAATATCTCGTGGGCTACTAGCCTTCAAAATAGTTCAAATGGACTGTGTGCGAGAGATCCATTCTCGAGGCTCGCATGAGGAGACCTTCGAAACAACCCCGAAGACAAAGACCGCTGCTATCAATAAGGAATCTGCAGTCTGAAACGGGTGATCAAACTGAGTACAATAGAAACAAAAATAAGGCCAATGCTTGGAGCGAATGGGTCCGGAGTTGAAAGGGGGTGGAGGAGGAGAACCGACAGCCAACACGTTCCGAGTCAGCAGCAGTCACTCTCATCTTACAGGTGGAAGACACACACTCCTTCACTTTGAGTCCATCCAACCCAGTCAGTGCCGAATAGATGACAGGTAGTTTTGATTTGACACTAAGTTTGGTATTATCGACTATCCTCGGCCGGCTTAGCAAAAAATAGGTCTCAGTATTCTACTCCGGTCTGTGTACGGAGTTCTGCACTGCCCGTTAGATTGCAGCTGATTCTTTCATTATGATGCTCGCATGGTTTCTCCTGCGCCAGATATATCACTCTGCCTCAGGCACACAGCCCATTATCCCCACATCCATTCATTCTTGTTCATCACTCCATGAATCACTCACCACTCGACAATTGCCGCAGTCAATGCGGCAACTCCTTCCACTCTGTCACATTCAATAAACGTACATTCTCTCCCGGCCTGCATATTCAGCTGGCACGGATAAATGCCCTACCATTATGCTTTTGGCCCCCGCCAATGCACAAACTCCGACCCTTGTAGGGGAAAGGGAAGCGAGTGTACTTAATTGAATAAGACGTATTGGGATTCAATCCCTCTATCGACTCCATCGAAAGAGAGCTTCACCGATTACTTGTGGCGAGAGCGAGAAAAGGGTCTAGATGGAAGCTCGATTCTCTGTCGATCATCGGTGCTATTGAACTCCTGTTCCGCAGCAGAGAACAGTATCGAGAACCTAAACCAACCCGCCCTGGCCACTTGAAGAAAGTCGTAGATCCAACCGAACTCGAACCCTTCAGCGCCGCCAACGCCGCCAACGCTGCCGCTGTTGGATTCGACTATCTCCTTTTTCTTCCTCTTCCTCTCTCTCTCTCTTATTGTTCCCAATGATCATTCATCAGAGACACCCCCACCCCTTTTTTAACTTCATTTTCCTGAAGTAAGAGTAAGGATTGGATCCATGCCACCCCCCTTTTGTTCTCTTTCTCTGCCCCGCGTTTCCCGGAAGTGAGAGTGTCGTGTCTCGGCCCTGAGTCCGAACCAATGCGGCACGTGTGACGGGGCGCCGTGACCGGCTGGCTGGTTTAATAAAGCAATTTAGGTCCTGCGTTTGGCCCACACCCTTTATTCTATTCTTTTTCCTCCGTCTTTCCTCCGGCACTGCGGCAGGTCTCCGTCGGTTCATCACAACGGCGCGACGCTATGATTGGCAACGACTGAGGTGTGTCGAGTGTAGTAGTAACTGAGGTAGGTAGTCCTTGCTAATTAGAGGGGTGATGTGAGGAGGGACAGTCCCACGCCAGGAGGACATGGTACGATTCCTCATCTTCGAGACATATACGACAACACCCGACATGTAGTCAACAAGAATAGGACCTCCTCATCGCTCGCGTACCTCAAAGCCCCAGAAAATCGCATATCGCTACATCCACCATTAAGAGGAAACCCCATCCATATTCAGTGTCCAACCCAGTAACAACAATCGCCGAATCAGGATCAATCAAGCGGGAGAGAAAACGAACCGATTCAACCTTTCCGACCCAATCCAGTTCCCAGCTAAGCAAGAGCCTATACCTCAGTCAGTAACTCACATTGTTCTCTCATCCTTTCAATCCAACCTGTCATATCGCTGAACTCATGGCCGGAAACATGGTTCATTACCATGGGCTGGAGGACCCTGTTAGCCCTTAACCTGATCCAGTTGATGAAAGGGAACCGCGGGGCTTGGAGGCGATAAAGAAGCGGTACCCGGACAGCCGGGTCCTCCAAGCATCTGGCTCGAGTGCTGTACAAAGGAAGGTGAAGTTTCAGGGAATGTCTTCTACGCGATGCATTAAGAGAGAGATCGGTTCTGTCGGGGATGCATGCTTTTGCTGGTTGCTGAGCTCTGCCAAATGCACAGCCGAGCGGATCATAGTTGGGATTCTTCCTGGGGAATGGTAGGAGATGTGAAGCATTTTAGGCGAGCAGAGGCCACCAGCCACGAAGAAAATAACGGTCTGCTAACGAACCCGAGGGACCCTCAGCCACAGAGGTCATTGTTGGTGCAAGTAAGCATTGGCCTGGGGAAAGAGGGGTAGGGGGGATTGAATGACCCCCCATGTGAAGGACATACAACGTATAACTACACATGATAGGGTAGCGGCAGAGTATACTATGTAAGTGTACCCCCAGAGTCACTGCAGTGCAGTTAAGCAGTGCATCAACGTAAAGTACCTACCGTATAGTACCTTCTCTGCCTATTCCCTGGCTCGTGGATTCCATAATCCCGAGAGACAATCGGGTGTCCGCCCAATAGCCCTCTGCTGCAGGTCTGAAACATCCACCACAATAAAAGAGAGGCATACATCCCCCCCTCCAAAAAAAAAGGAAATGCAAGAAGCGTGTGATCGGAAGATCAGATGAGAGACAAGGCCGCATGCATGCTCGACAGACGTTCGCACAAAACTCCAACCCATCCTACCCCGCCGGGATCTATCACGTACAGACAGTCAAGAAGCCGCCTACTGTAAGAAGCCTTGACGGGACCATCTGATCCTCCAGATTGGGGGTTTGACATCGCCTCCTGGTCGGCGGGCATGGGCGATCCAAGCCACTGGCAGCACGATGACGATGCATTAGTGGCGCATCCCTCCTGTGATATGACAGGACTTCTCTTCCCCTCCTCCTCCGGTGCCTCTTTTTCTCTCTACCTCCCCTCATCTGCCCCTCCATTCCTCCTGACACCCAACCGTTTCTCTTTCTGGTTCTTGTTTTGCCTACACCCTTCAAAGTTGCAGGGGAGGGCCCGAGTGTCCCAGGTAGTAACTATTATGGGTTTTTATTTGATTCCCACCTTGTCCTTATTGTGATGTCGTACTTTATTCTAGACTACAGCATGCGATGTCGCAGCCTCTGGGAAAGTAGTAAGCAGGGTGATTATGATTATCCGACAGTCGCATGCAAGAGTGACAGATACTCACAGTAAATAGACACCTTGCTGTGAGTGCTCTGATGGACAAGCAAATTGAGAGAAGACTCGCATGCAATTTTCTAGGGGTTGAGGGAGATCTGACGGACATCGTCTCTGTCTCCAGAGGCAACAGAAACGCAGCATGGAAAATAAGACCTTGAAGACAGCCATGATTACATATCTTGATTGTTTCCACAGTCCACAACTGCCGCGGAAAGAGTACCGTCAGTATTCCATAAGTTTAGAGTACCCGCAAGGAAGACGCCCAAAGAGGAATAGCCAGCATGGCAGGGCTAATCCAGTTCCCACGAGGAAGATATGATTTGAACCGGCTCAACCACGGCTTGGCACCATCGTCGAGGCTGTTATCAGCAGGGGAAAGAAAAGGAAGAAGCCATGACTAGCATGATGGCCTAATATAGCAGCACACCTACCTAGTACACACTACACAGGAGCTGGTTAGAATACAAGGTTTCTCCAACCCGTAATCAATTGTTTCTGTCCGCGCCCAGACTGGAACCTTGTGGGAGTGGTACGATAATACTACCACCACCACCACCACCACCACTTGCCATCTAGACCCTCCAAGGAGTGCGGGAAAGGGGGCTTCAAGATTGGTTGCACGGGTAGTGATTTGGTCGAAGCATTTGGGCCTAAATAGGGAGTTAAGGATGGTATTGTACTCCTACACAGTAGGATGATAGCCGCATCTCCGGTCGAGGAATACTCTTCTTGTCATGCTCTCTTACCGACTGCTGTCTGTCGCTGGACTGCATCTCAGGGACCGGGTCTGCAGCTGGTTGTCCCACCGTCGAGATGAGCAAGAGGAGAGGAGGGTGGGACAGCTCTGCAAGAAAAGGTTGACGGGCCGACGCTAAGAGAGATACAGGATTGATTACAAGGTCGCTGCCCAGTGCTTTTCATTCTTTCTCTAGCACTGCTCTCATTCTCCCCTCATTCTCTTCCCGGCTACCGGCTACTCTAGTACGTGAGTACTCCGTACATCAGTCAGACTCAGAGGGGAAACTCCGTGCATACGCCATTGTGCATGGGACTGATCCTCGGAAAATCAGGGTTTCTGTTCGGATGCGATGCGATGCGACAAGGGGCAATGAGCATCTTTTGTCACCTTTCCACCAGATAATGGGTCTAACGATGCAGGACATGGTGATGATCAAGGCGATGGGATTGCTGACTGCCATCCCGGTCATGGGCTGCTGACCGAACACAAGCCCCCATCTCGGGATAGTCTCTCAACTTACTGCGTGTGCGTGCGTGCGTGCGTGTATCGTATTGAGATTACATGTGGGACCCCCTAATCATTATCGTCCGGATACTTACCTGTCGACGATAAACCACCCTGTCAGAGATTTTTCCATGAGACCTTTGCTTAGTTTTTGTTTGGTGTACTGTAGAAGTCGAAATCTTGGATGAATCGATAATATGATGGCCACCACTGTGGACTGTAGTTATAGTTATAATGTTATAACTACAGTCTGCTTTGAAGAGAGGAAAAGAGAGCAGAAATTTCTCGGATCGGGAGGGAAGCCAGCGATTCAACCAGCCGAATCTCTGGACCAACCACATCCATTCAAATCCATCCGATGTCCACCCTTTTGTATTTTTATTTTTATTTTTTTTTTTTTGTCTACTCCGTCCTCCACGGCGACTCCGGCAGTCTTCTTCCCATAAGAAAGAAAACCAAAATACAGAGCAAATGCCAGATGATAAATGAATGCAGAATCTCTCTCTTCTGTCTGCTCTTGATCTGTCTTGTGTTCTCGGATATGCGTCTTTCTCTTGTTCATGCAGTCTGTCACCGCCGCCCTGGGAAAGGGGAATGTGATATTGACGGATGTACTCCGACGTGTTGGAGTTATGTTTTCAATCCTGTGTATAATCATTACCTACCAGTATTAGTAGTGGAATTTATTATTATTATTTTGGCTACGGCGGAGAAAAGACTTGGTCTGCCTGCTTGTTACTCTTGCTGCTGCTGCTGCTGCTGCTGCTGCTGCTGTTGCTGCTCTTGCTGTTGCTGCCGCTTCTCTTCCTCCTCTTCCCAGTTCGACTCTCTCTCTTATCCCCGGTCAAGGAAAAAAAAAATAGAATCGAATCCACGTCTTCTGCTCGCTTCCTTTCCCTCTGCCCCCCCTCTCTCTCTGCCTCTCTTCCCTTTTCCCTCTTGCTCACTTGCTCACGCTCAGTCTCCGTTTCTCGGTCTTGAGACTCTCTTCTTTTCTCCCCGTTCCCCCCATCAAGCCTTTCTACCCCCCCCTCCCCCTCCCCCGGTCCTCCTCTCTCTCTCTCTCTCTCTCTCTCTTTTCTTGGATTGGGACGATTGCATTTCTCCTCTGCTACCCGACCTTTTCCTTCCCTTTCCCTTCTCTCCCTCCCCCCATCCTCCATCCTTAATTCCCTCAATCCACCCACTTCTCTCTCCCTCGTCCTCCCACTCCTCCCCTCCCCGCCTTCTCCAACCCTTTTCATCTCCCTCACGCCAGACCCTAATTTGTGTCTGTCGTGTCTGAAGGGTGAGAAGCTGTTCTCGGTCACTGCTTGCCCATTCTGCCTCGTTCACTCGTGGTAGATACTATAGAGAGTGCAATCACTCCTTTTCCTGTGAGTCGCCAACCCTCCTCTCCCCTTGCCTGACACTCCCGAAGCACAATGTCTTGTCTTTTCCTTTTTTTGTGTCCGCCTTCCGTCCACCGGCCATAGAAAGAAAAAAAAAATAAAAGCAAAGCTACCACACCTCATCGACTACGCCTTGTTATCCAATTCGATCAAAGACTAGCAGGTCAACTTCCTTTCACCTTGATCGCGTGTCATCCCCGCAATGCGAAAGACTCGATTGATATCGACGATGTTGAAGACAATCCAAAAAAAAGTTTGATACATGGGAAGGGAAAGGGACATTCCGAAAAATCTAAGAATAACTCCGATCGATGTCATTGCTGGTCGCCATCCCGCCTTTTTTTTTTCTGCTTTGATTTGCGGTGACTCGGACACCTGGCCCGTTTATCTGGACTTTCGCCCCGTCATCATCATCCACCTTGTTTTCGTTCGTCTGCAATTATCTGTCAATGCATTTGGTGCGCTGTCTTGAACTTTTCGACCTAATGCTCATTACCCCCTCTGAAACAGGCCTCTCCTGATTGCTTCAAGCGCCAACCTTTCTTTCCGCCTCACGCCATTCCTCCCGTCCGTCGCGGTCTCCAGATCAATTGAAAAATGGCTTCCTACTACGAGGCCCAGGGCTGGCAAGCCCCTCCCACGCGCCAGGCTTCTTGGGAACAACCTGTCCCGCCGTCGCGGTCAGGTATGGATCATCTGATGTCTTAGAACCGTTTCTGGCCGAGAATAGCCAAGGCTCACACCGTCTTTCCTCACAGGATCAAGCTCCGTCTCCCAACGCGATGAGGCTCCGGCTTTCTCTTCTCAATTCGATGGTATGCACAATTCACCACCTCCCATATATCACGCCCTGCGCGGTCGTGATCATACGAGATGAGGTTCACAGCCTGCGAATTGTTTCTGCGGTCTGCAGGCACCGTGAAAGCTCGGTTTGAAAAGGAGAGGCAATAGGTGCTGACTGTCAACAGAGGTCGACCGTGCGATTGACAACCTGGTCAAGAGCGGAAAGCTTTGGGCTGCGCCTCGGAGAGATTCGATGCCCATGATGATGGGTCGCCCGTATCCGGACTACGGTATGCTTTCTTGAATATACCCATCCCCTCCCCCCGGGAACCTGGCCAGTTGCTGACCCGTATTGTGGTAGATCCCCGCATGGCCGGTGCAATGTCGCAGCGTCACCACTCGATCAGCGAGTTCGACTCTCGGATGCACCCGAATCCCTCCCTCCAAGGCTTCTATGCCTCGCAGCGGTTCCAGGGACGTCCCAATGAAGTGGAACAGATGATGCAAGCGAAGCGTCGGATGGCAGCACAGCGTGAGAGGGAGCTCCGCAACTATCACCAGGAGCAACAGTACAACCGAAGTACGTGGTAGCATTTGTCTTTGGAGCCTCTTTCTTTTCCTCGCCCGCATTTCCTCCACTTATTCCCCATGATCTTCTCTGCCCATATGTGTATTCGCTGGCTTGTATATTACATTGGGACATGCTTCCAGTTTTTGAACATGGTTTTAATTCTTCCGCTTCTCCAAAGGCCTGCTTGCCGAAATGTCTGGAAACAAGTCCGATCGCTCGCTCAGCCCCGCCGCCATGAGCGAGGAAAGTCGCCGAGAGCTTCTGGCTCGTCAACATAGGGCCCTGTACGGCAACGACAGCCCCGCTTTCTTCCCCCCTGGAAGCCTGACCGATGAGAACCCGCGCTCCGACAGCCAGGCCGGTGGTACCCCGACCTCGGCCACCGGAGTTCGTGGCCCTTCGCCCCGGGGTGCTGACCCCTTTGGTCTCGCACAGACTCCGGTCCAAGGAAGTGGTGATGGGGTTTCCCCGGCTGCTACAGGTGCGGCCTCCCTGCAGTCTCCCTCGCGCGCCAACAGCAGCTCGTCGCCCAGCTCCAGCATCAACCCTGTTTTCGGCAAGTACGAGACTGCTGAGCAGCCCGGAACCTCCACCTCATCTCCCGGTGGCGCCGACTCTCCTTCCTCGAGACAAGCATCGACCAAGTCGGCGGCCGGGCCTATTGGGTCTGTAGGACCCATCGGCAGCCGGCCTCTTCAACAGACCGGTGCGAGTCAGGCTTCCAACCCGGCCCTGAATAAGCGTTCCACGACTCCTCTTCCTTCTCCTCTGGGATTTGGCTTCACGTCTGGTGATGCGGCCTCCGCCGACCGTGCATCTTCGGTCTCCAATCCCTCTTCCACCGCTGCCGCCGCGACCGCTGGCGTCAAGGACACTGCTGGAGGCGGTGTTTCGCTCGGCTGGGGTAACGGCAGTGGCGTTTGGGGATCCAAGAACGGTCTGGGGGTGCAGGCCTCTGTCTGGGGCTAAAGCGCCGGGCCATCGCCATGGTCCGCTCCTTTCATCATTATATCATTGAACAGGTGTTCGCTTTTGTGCTGTGGCGTTTCAAGAGGGGGTTATATATTTCGATTCGACTTTTGGGAAGAGCATGGTACATATCTGCAGGAAGTGGGCCGCACGCACACCTCTTGATTAATCTTTTATCTAGCGCTCCGTCACATGTGGACAGTTAATTTGGGACATGGTTGGCTTTACTGACTAGGCACCGTGGGATTGGCCTTTGGTTTCTGGAGTCGGTATTTCCTTTTGTGTTATGTGGCATCCTGTGGGGTTTCTCTTGTTTGGTTGGTGTCGCGTGTTGATTTTGGGTTGTTGCAGTCGCTGCTTCGGGGGGTTGGGTAAATGGGGTGATTGTATTTACCTTTGTTCGGCTGTGAGGTGTCGGTCTCGGTCTATTGTTTCCCGCTCATCTACGGGGGTTCCTGGTGTTTTTGTTTGTGTTCGGATCTGAGTTTGGCCGCAGCATGTTGGGTCATTTGCCTGGGCTTTTTCTTTCTTGAGTTTGGGTACGAAAAGGTTTTTTTTTCTTTTTTTCTGCTATTCTGTCTTGGCAAAAGGAATACTGGGGAGCAGGCACATTATCTAAAGAGCTGTTTGAGTCTGGAGTCTGTTGATCTGCCGTGGTTTCTGGAATGTCTGCATTGAAGTTTGTGGTTTCGTCGATAGGATTATTATATTGTCATCGTGGCTGGGTATTATCGGGTGTTTGTGTATGGCTGAGACTCTGTTGGTCAAGTGTAATGTTCTGTAGAATCTGCCTCGGGGACTCCTTCTTGACTTGGTTTGAAGCCATGTATGTAGCTCCTTGACGACTAGACCTAAGTAGATATGTATCTGGCCGCTGTTGTTTACATATCGTCCTGCTTGTCCTGCCAACTACCAGTTCCGATCGATACACATCAGTCCACCGAATGATGCAGCCGACAGCACAAGAATCACCACCAAACAACATGTCATTTCGTCCTACATCAATATCATATCTATCGTGCATCATCTAGTAGTCAGTCATAGTCGTCATCGCTCTCCTACATGTAGTTGTGTATACGGTATATAAGCCAGCCCAGCACCCCAACCCCCCTCTCCTCCCTCTAAACCACCGAACCCACCGACCCCAACAAGGGATCCTCTTCCGAAGAAGCACTCTTTCCCCTTTTCCTTTTCCCTTTACCTATACCGCCACCTATACCACCCTCCTCCTCCTCCACCTCCAGGGTTGTAACCCCCCTCACCCCCCTCTTCCACCCATTCCCTTCCCCGCCCAGAAAATAAACCCCCTGTCCAAGCACCACCAACCCAAACGCGACCGGATACCCCCAGGACACCACATAGCGAAAGACGAGCACCCCCACGACCACCCCCCAGCAATTCATCGTCAGCATCGAGAGATTGAAAAACGCCGCCGACGCGCGCCGCAGCAGCAGCGGCACGAGACAATAGAACGCGCCCAAACAAAGCGTATAGCCCGCCATGTACCCGAGCACCTCTGCATCCAAGCTTCTGGTCCTGAGGGCGGGGGCTTCGAGACAGAGGGACTGAACGGCGGTGATGACTGTTCCGAAGAGGGACATGTGGGCGAGGACTTCGGCGACCGGGGCGGTGCAGACGAGGATTTCCTCGGCGGTGTTGGCGAGGCCGTAGGTTGTTGCGCCGAGGAGTGCATACAGGTCGCCGAGGAGGGGGGATTTCGGGTGGTCGGGCTGGGTGTCGGTGGTGGTGTCGGTGAGGAGGAGGAGGAGGATCCCGCTGATGCAGATCGCGATCCCCAGGATCTGGCCCCGGTGGTAGCTCACCCCTAGGAATGTTGTGGAGAGGAGGACGACGACGGCGATGGCCCAGAAGTTGATGAGTTGGGCGCTGAGCAGGGTGGTGTGGCGGTAGGCGAGGACGAGGAAGTAGTTGCCTTCGACGTCGCAAAGGGAGAGGAGGAGGTCTAAATGTCCATTTTGGGTTGGGTTGTTAGTGTGGATGGGCATAAGGAAAAGAAGGGGTGGGGGGGGGGTTTGTTACATTTCCAGCCGCGGTCGAGGAGACTCTCCTGCCAGCCGCGGAGGCCCTCGCGGTGGATGGTGTATGTTGTGAAGATGACACTGAGCAATAAATAATTGAAGAAGGTCTGGAAAGCCGGGAAGGATACGTCTCGGTCCGCGAGGAGGGCGCTGAATGTGCTACAGGCGGTGTTGGTGATGGCGAGGATCTGGCTGTGTTGTTGAGTCAGCTTGCGCTGGCTGTAACTATAAGGGATGTGTGTCTTACCCCAGGAGTAGGGTGAGGTAGAATTCGCGGGTCGTGAGGTAGGCGAACGGGCTTTGGTGTCTGGGGGTGGTCTCGTCGGCGTCGGTAGGGTCATCGTCATCGTTGGTGTAGAGATTCGTAGCAGGTGTATCTAGTTTGGGTGGACGACCGAGATCGGTGCCCGTGGCTGATGGTCCAGCCCTAGTAGTGTCTGTGCCATGGGACACAGCAGAATGTGGCATGGCTGGGGGGTTGTCCCGCCGGCTTTATGTACAGTAGTGCTGACTCGGAGATTCTTGATGGGAGCTTTTGATCCGCACGAGCGCAAAGCTCCCGAAGTCGCTCGCGGAGGTGGTTTTGCAAACCCAGCAGTAAGGTTGAGGTTGAAGTTGAAGGAAGATATGAATGAAGCCGTCAAAGTTCCTGACCGAAGTGTGGAGAATCCTGTCAATTACTTGATCTGGTTAGTTCTGCCGTCTCTAGATTGGCGCCCCCGATATCGTCTTGCCCCGCATAAGAGACCCGAGCTCGCCCTTTGGACCTCCTCCCCTCACCATCCGAGTTTGCACCATTGTTCACCGCACGACCCCTACGCCTTGATGTATTGCTTTACACGTTGCCCCTGAGCTTCGTAGCGATGTGGTTCGCTCTGCCGCTTAGCTCGTTCTCCTTTGGAATTTTGAGATGAACCAGCCGCAGCGGTATCGCGTGACTTGGCGTCGACGATCCTACCATTTCCTAATTTGAAAACAGTGTTTACTACTAGTTAACTAGTAAACTGAGTAAAAATGCTTAGCTATCTGGGCGGATACCTTGATTCCACCAGTCCTTTTCTCTGATCCATTCCGTACTCAACCTCACCATGCAGCGAGCCACGCGGAACTTTTGGACTATTTGGACCTCCTGTGCTCACAGGGGCTTCACGGCATCTCCATCGCTGTCACAGAATTGCTCTTGGTTGTGGTCTGAGAGCCACAGCTGTGCTGCATCGAACAATCATGTCATCAGCGCGGTGGACGTGCACCCCTAGAGTGTTTCCCAGCTCAGGATGCAAGTCACTTGACCTGTCCATTGAGATTGAGGAGACCCTGCCAGTCAGCCAGGGTGAGCTATTACTTCCGGCATAGTCTAATTTAGTATACTGGGTAGACAGCTGTGAAGGGTAAGATGATATTATAGTTACAGAGCATATTAGGGTGTGTATATAGTATTTAGGGGGGGATATGGACTTTAAACCTTTGAGTTTGCATCAACCCACAACCGAACGATCTGAAGGGAATATACTGCCTATCATAAGTCGCATCTTGGCCAAAAAAAGCTAATAGCTAGTCTACCTTACTGCTTATACTACATATCTACTATTACTTTTCAGTAAGTCCAGTATGGGCTGCTTGTTTACAGGTTCCAGCAACACTCAAGAAAGTTCGTCTAATAGATATGTAACTTTCTCTCTACTTGGAAAAAAATACTAAGCACCAGGGGAAGACAGAATAATCACTTAAGCCTTTCCTAACGGGAATCCGATACACAATCTTAATCACGCAGTGGAATGTGGTAGTGTACTCTTCTATCAACTAGAGGAGCAGAATCCGGAGCTGGCAGCAGATGTATAGTACCATTGAGCAACTGACTCATAATTCGCCCACAAGTGGAGCCCCGTGGCTTGGCCCCGATAAGAGGTTGGGCCGTGTTCGGTTATCGGGGATGATCCGACGCGCTGGTAGTACTCCGTATAGAGTAAGTAGTCTGGAACACACTGCCACGGTAAGCTGTCTGACTGTATCGAGTACTGTGTATGCTAAGGAGGGATGCAGCATGTTAATGTAGTTCTTAACTTGGTGCCACCTCCGCATTGATGCACCGAACTTAGCGTTCCTGCACGGAACATCCACTCGCCTGTCTTGACAGGGGAGTATATATTCGAGGAATGTAAACATCATTAGGGTAAACTTCGTACTCCGCAACTTGATTCGTAGGAGATATTAGTGTAGATGTTGCCTCTTCATTTATTTGAACAACAATAGTAGGTACTATATGGTAATCTGTTATTCTTGCAAGTTTATGCTCCTGCTGTCGACCAGAGTCACATGCCGCATATCGCCCCTCCGCATCTGCCCCAGGCATCCAAATCTAGCGATGATCTCATCGGCTCCCCTCCCTAGGATCTTCCATTCCCCAGAACCGAATCATGATCCGATAGCAGCAGCTTCAAGTCCGGTCGTTCATGTAGGGGATGGTTGACGCTTCAGCATGATTCAAAATTAGACATGTTTGGTGACGCAGCATCCCCACATGACCCATCCTCCTCCCCATCTCCTTGGTTCATCTATTGACCGAATGGAACACAGGCGCAATCGTCCGTATCGGCGGTGCAACCAAGTTCAGGCAGAGTTGAGTTAAGCTTGAACTGGTCGCTGCCCAAACTTAGTAGGAGCCCCGATGTCGCTCATTTTGAGGATCAATATCCAGTCCGCCAACAGCTGAAGATCACAAACAGAAGAAAAGACTTACCTGACGATGCAATTCTTTCCCCATGCACCAGGCCTGCGGATCGTCCTTGTGAGGCTGAAGTAGTGTATTGCTTACTTATCCACCCTAAGGGGTTCCATGGATATTGACTGCGTGGGGAAGCCGGGATCATGATTACGGAGTACATTTGTGCAGAGAGCTAGTACTGTACCTTAACTGTAAAACAATTATAGAACAAGTTTCAGGACCACTCTTGCGGAAACACAGCTAGATGAGGCTAGAACACCTACCATTTTTCTTTTCTTCTTCTTTTTGAGTTTCTCACCCCCTTGATTGACACACAATATCTGGTGATCCTCAACTTTTTTAACAAGATTCATCGTACTGTCTATTGCATACATGATACCGTACTCCGTACATCACATGGGACAAGAAGAAGCACCTTGTGGTAAGGGTCAGCAGCAACGACTGAGTTAGTAGTAGTGAATCGTCAGAACCGGCGGATATGAGACCGTTCTGGGGACGCGCGCACGTCATCCACAGACCCGAAAAGACCCTTGTTTTGTGTTGTGTTGGGAGATAAGTTAGGATCAGTAGATACTAGCTAGTCAGGTTAGCTTCAGTAAATCAGTCAGAGCAATGCTTTCGCTGCAGATCCCGTCCTGGACTGCTGGCTAGCGGTGGATGCCGTATATCGGACGTTGGCCTGTCCAGCTTAGCTCTGATAAGCTCCCGATTTGTGAGGGAAATCGATCATCTTAGGTTCTCCGCTCTCCGATTCAGCTTCAGTCAATGAGTGTTGAGTCCGGTCGCGTGTTGCTGTCCAGTTCTATTTCTTTGCCCTTTTTTAATTTAGTTTTTTCTTTCAATCTCAAAGTAGAGACTGAGTCAGTACTCAGCAGGCAGACAGACAGACAGACAGGCAGACAGGCAGACAGGCAGACAATTTGCCGAGGCCGTCAGGTGGTCCCGACCTCTCAAAGTCAGGATCCTCAGTCCATCATCGTCCATTCACAGTACAAACAGAGTATTAACATTGAAGCACAAGCAAAGCTCTGTTAGGGAAGCAAGCAGCAGCAGCAGCAGCAGCAGCAGCGGCGCAGCAAGCAGTGAGCATCTCCACCACCAGCAGCAGCTAACCTTTCCCCCATCCTCATCATCGCAGCTTTATTACTATCTTTATTTTTTTGCCTGTCACTTTTCTTCCCTTTTACATCATTTTTCCTTCGCCCACCCCTCCCTCTCTCTCTCTCCTTCCTTCCACCTACGGACGGAGTACTCTTTACCTCTACCTCTCTCTCTCTCCCTCCCTCCCCTTATCCATCCTCTCTTGTTAACTTGTCATTTGCTTGTTCCATCTTCTTCTGTTTCTTCCTCTTCTCATTTTCCTCCCCTCTGCTCTTCTCTCTTTCTTCCCCCCCCCCCAATCTCCTCCATCCCTCCACATCCATTACTCCCACTTCATTCTTCCGTGTCTTCCATCCATCCCTTTGCTCTCCCTTTCTTTTTTAACCTTTCCCGCTGTTTCGAAACCCATTCCCCACTTCTTTCCCTTCCCTTCCCTTCCGCACCCATTCCTCCGTCCAATCTGGACCAAGCCGCGGCCTTTTCTTATCTTTCTCTCCGCCTTCCCTTCCGTTGGGGCTCTCCTCCTCGCGCCGGAACACTCGTTCCTGAGTTGTCCCGGAGTGACGAGACGCCACCTCTCCGTTTTGCCGGACCATGGCGTTGGAGGTGCAACCACCCAGCGATCGCAAGCGGGTGAAGGTCTATGAACTCAGAGATAATGACTGGTTCGATCGAGGTACCGGCTTCTGCACCGGCCAGATTCTGGATGTAAGTTGTGCCTGCCATCCTGTTGATTTCGCCGCGCGACTGCTGCGTCGCCCGCTCCTCGGGCGCAAACGCAACCGCCACCGTCGGGCGCGCGCTATCCTGTGCCTCGCCAAATCCTCCATCGCTAATCATATCAACTCCATCCCTAGGATGAGCCGCGGATATTCGTCGAGTCGGAAGATGAGCCCAACCGGGTGCTGCTGGAGACTAAAATCTCCAAGGATGACGGATACCAGAAGCAACAAGGTGCCACCCCTCTCCCGCGCGCTTGCCCGCCAGTGCGCACGCGACAAGTCGTACAAGAATCATCACTGACCCTCACGCGACATCATCAGAGACATTGATCGTATGGACAGAGCCCAATGGAACGGATATGGCGCTTAGTTTTCAGGAAGCTGAAGGGTGCGCGGTCATCTGGTAAGGCGCATCGAGCCAGCTTGATGTCAGTGAAGATGAGTCAAACCGGAGACTGATTGAGCCTCCAAGGGATTTTGTCAACAACGTGCAGCAGCATCTGCTCAGTCTGGCACCGGGAGGTTAGATTCTTTCCCTTACCCGCTTTGCCGCCGCGATACTCGTATGATCGGCTAGTTTGCTGACCTGGTCATTCTGTTGTGCCTAGAAGATGCTTTGTCCGACGAGATCGAAAGCTACCAGTCGATCATGCTGCCCGCGCCCGAGCTAGGGAACCTCCCCGAAATCGACCACATTATGAGAACCTCGAGCATCACGCAAGCCGGTCGCGATGCGCTATCGAAGCTAGTTATTCGGGATGAGTATATTCCGAAACTGATTCCTTTGGTTTCGATGGCCGAAGACCTCGAAAGTCTTCCGGATTTGCATCGCCTGTGCAACATCATGAAATCGCTGATTCTCCTCAACGACAACACGATCATTGAAACGGTCGTGACAGACCCCGTTATCCTTGGAGTCGTTGGAGCTCTGGAATGTATGGATTTTGAACACAGGATCGCGCATTCAGGATGTCGCTAATGGGGCTTAGATGACCCCGAGTTCCCTACCCACAAGGCCAACCATCGCCAATACCTTGCAGACCAGACGCGTTATAAAGAAGTGGTTCCTATCAAGGATCCGCTCATTCGGCGCAAGATCCGATACACTTGGCGCCTACAGTACCTCAAGGACGTGGTGTTGGCTAGGATCCTCGATGATCCTACATTTTCGGTGCTGAACTCGTTGATTTTTTTCAACCAGGTCGAAATCGTAAATCACATACAGTCCAATGCGCCGTTTTTGAAAGAACTCTTCACAGTCTTCGATCCCAGAAACGCCGACAACAAGCGCAAGGAAGACGCAGTCCAGTTCCTTCATCAATGCGCAGTCATCGCAAAGAACTTGCAAGCGCCGGCGCGTGCTAATCTCTTTGCCAATTTCATCAACCATGGCCTCTTCGCCGTTATCGCATTCGCTATCAAACACCCCAAGCCGCCTCTGCGCACCACGGGCATTGATCTTCTGGTGTCTCTCCTCGACCACGATCCAATCATGATGCGCGGGTACATGCTTAAGGCTGTCAGCGAGAAGAAAACGCCTCTTACAGATACTTTGATTGACCTGCTGCACACGGAATCTGACCTCGGAGTCAAGAATCAACTTGCCGATGCGATTAAAGTACTGCTAGATCCACAAATTCCCTTGCCGGACGCCATGGGTCGGGCTGGCCCCGAGCACTTCAACAAGCCACGTTCCAACATCTTTTCGGATACTTTTGTTCAGAACCATTTCGATGAGTCTTCAAGGAGGCTATTTTGGCCTCTGAAGCGACTCGAGGGCCGCGAAACTCGTAAGCTCACCCAGACCCTCGTCATTTATCCTTCAAACTGACCATTGTGCCCTCTCCAGTCAATGACCTTACATTCCAAGACGTGACACTGTACTCGCATCTTGTCGATATTCTTACATTCTTCGTGCGCCAGCATCTGTACCGTTCACGCAATGTTATCCACGACGAATCCCTTGCACCCCGGATTGCTCAATTACTCACCGTGCCCCAGAAGCATCTGAAACTGAGTAGGTCGATATGGTCACCGTCTTTGTTTGATGGGCGGCTAATATAGTTTTCAGCTGCCTTAAAGTTCTTCCGCACCTTGGTTAGTCTCCAAGATACTTTCTACCAAGCCATGATCACTCGCAACAACACGTTTGGTCTTATTCTCGATATTGTCTACCAGTCGATGCCACGGGACAACCTTCTGAATTCGGCCTGCCTTGAACTCTTCGAGTACATCAAGCGTGAGAACATCAAACCAATTGTCCTGCACTTAGTGGAGAAATATGGCGAGCAGATCAAGAACATCACATACGTGGATACGTTCCAATCTCTTTACTTGCGCTACGAGCAATTGCAGGGCTACGGCGCAGTGGAGGCGGACTCCACCCTGTACTCCCAGGAAGAAGACTTGCCTAATCAGAGGATGCAAGCCAATGGATCGCGCTGGCAGGGAGTTAAGGAGATGGATGCTGCAGAAGAAGAATACTTTAACACTTCCGACGATGAGGAGGTAAGTCGCGCCCCTTGCAAACAGCGACAGAATGAATCACTAACCATGCATCGTGTTGGTAGCATTATCCTCAACAGAACACAACAATCTCCGCACACCCGCAGAATGGCGCAGCATCGCCTGTCGTGAAGCCTTTAGTCGATTATCCGGATGACGACGACGAAGATGATGCCATGGATACCAAGCCTGAAGACCAGACGCACCAAAAGCAAGAATGCTCACCGCAGGCTCTCACTCGAGACACGATCATGGACTCGCTTGAGGAGTCACCCTCCACGCCCGTCGCACTGACGCTCCAGACCCCTCCCGAAAGACTATCGGAGAAGCGCCGACGCGAAGAGGAGGATGACGACGAATTGATGAAGCTTTCAGCTGGTCCCAAGCGAAGAAGCTCCGTGAACGCAGGTTCCGGAAGTGCAGGGCTCCTGCGCCGGAAACGAAGCGTGTCCATAGGATCTCTTTCGTCCGGCGAGAAAGGGTCGAGTTTGGGCAACACGACCACCAGCGCAGCACCTCGACGCATTGCGATCAACCTGAGCTCCGCAGTGGCCAAGTCGACTGGTTCCGCAGTAGACAAGACGAACAACGAAAAGGAGAACCGAGACGATAACAATGACAGTCAGGGTTAATGACCTGCTGGAGGGTGGTCGAATCTTTTTAGCACGCCGAGCGATCGCAATCATTCTTGTGTGATCAATTCAGAGTTCGGGAATGTTCTGTGTTTGTTTTACGACAGTCTTCTAGATACCAGATGAAGTGATGTGTTTTTTAGCATTGTTACTGATGGACCGAACGCATTCTTTCTGTACGATTCCCTCTTTGTTCCTGATGGTTTCTTTTTTCTTTTAGATGTCGGACTTCATCTATCAGTCCGGTCGGGATGATGTACATTTAAAGCACTTTTCTCTTCTCTCTATTCTTATTCGGAGGTTCGAGGGTCTGGACAGGGGCGGAGTCGGGCTTGCTGGATGAACAGGACGTTATGGGCTGGGATGAGACGGGATAGCGCTGACGAAAAGACAAGGACTGCACATTTCCTTGCATGCACAATGTCAAGCGACTTGATCCTAGTACTGAGAGGCTGCAGCTGTAGATTTCCACTCGCAGTAGATGTAGTTCTATCAATGTAGGTGTTGATTCATCACTTCGGCTGGCGGGAAAAGAGTACATCCGCTGCTGTCTCCCGCGGCCGCCGAAGCAATGAGATAGTGAGGATGTTCCAAACCAAGAGGCCTTCAAGGCGTCGTAGAACGTGGAGATCTTTTTCAATACGCCGCGAAATCGAACTCGAGCACGATGTCTTCACGACTTGACCCTCACATGACGGCGGACAGTTTCTTCCACACCTTGGGGGACCAGAAATCCTCCGCATCTCCGTCTCGGAGCCCCGTCCTCATCTACTTCATATCAGGCAATCCCGGCCTAATCTCCTACTATTACCCATTCTTCACGCATCTGATCGACCGACTGCAGACGCTCGTCTCCAAGCACGATGAGAAACCCACTATTCACATCCACGGCCACAGCCTAGCCGGCTTCGAACTATCAGCCCCACACACCACGGCGGCGGTCGCCGACGAAGAGCCCTACTACCACGACCTCGAAGACCAGATCCGCTTCGTCCAGCGCAAGCTAGACACTTGCGTGAGCAGCATTTCTGGCGGGCATCCCAGTTCCGCCCCCGCAAACACCACCGAAGATGGTCCCCCGATCACCACACCACCAACGGTCCTCCTCATCGGCCACTCCGTCGGCACCTACATCGCCATGGAACTCATCCGACGCCATCGCGCACGAGCGTCGTCGTCCCCTTCCGCAGGACCTCTGTCTGGCACTGTGAATCATCCTTCATTTACCATCTCCGGCGGAATCCTCCTCTTCCCCACCGTCGTCGACATTGCTAAATCCCCCTCGGGGCGGAAATTGACCGTAAGTCAAGAACTCACTTGTCCTCCTGGGGGATGGGCGGAGCGTTACGTATCAGAAATGGATACAAGCTGAAGCAACCAACCACTTGAGACTTTGGTTTTGACTAACCCTGCTCGCTACATGCGCAACGGAGAATCAAGACTTTATTATCCATCCTCCCCCATCTAGCCCTCATCGCCGGCCTCTTCGCCAGGGTCCTCACCACCCTCCTACCGGGGTTCGTGCTCCGGGGCTTGGTGAAAGTGTTCATGGGCTTCCCGCCGGATGAGGCTGTGGATACGACTTGTGGATTCTTGAGGAGTCGGAGGGGGGTCAGGCAGGCTTTGTACGTTTCCCCCTTTTTTTTCTTTTCTGACGGTAACCCCCTGGGGAATGGAGTGCTTTTCCCCGGAAACAAAAGAACAGAAAAACAAAAGAAAAGGGAAAGGATTGCTCTCCAGAAGAAGGAAGAGATGGACAAACCTAGACCTCAACTCCACCATCATACACCCCCCCACTAACTCAATGCAACAGACACATGGCCGCCTCAGAAATGTACACCATCAACTCCGACAAATGGGCCGACGAGGTCTGGGGAATCTCTGCCACAAACGATGAGAAGCACCCGCTTACGAAGTTGTTCTTCTACTATGGGCGCGGGGATCATTGGGTGGCCGAGGAGACCAGGGAGGAGATTATCGCGCTGAGGGGGAAGGGAGCGGTGGGTTCGCAAAATGGAGGCGCTACTACGCCTACGCAAGGCTGCAGCGGACCTACGATGGTGGTTTGTGAGGAGGGGTTGCCGCATGCGTTCTGTTTGCGTGAGTGTTTCTGTCGATTGGTGGTTTTCCCTCCGGGTGTATACTGACTGGTGGGGGATGGGTAGGGCATAGTGAGGTTATGGCGGGGAAGGTTGCTGAGATGGTCAAGGAGATTATCGGGTGAGAGGAAGGTGCCAAAGGGGATGTACTGTACTCTACAAGGGGTGCTGTAAAGCGATAGAAGGTTTGGTGCTGTCGAGTGTGGTTGATCTGATCTCACAAAAGATACAAAACGCACACCCAGACTTCTATATGCGCTAATCATACTGGTATCATTTATCGGTATCCTCCCACAATGCACCTCACTGAGCCCCCTGATACGCCAGCCCGGCCCTGCGAAACAAATCCCCCAGGACGTCCTGCTGCGGTGCTGCCGGCGCAGCTCCCGCGGGGCCTTGCTGCGCCGGCGCCGGCTCCGGTGCCACCGCCGCCGGCGGCGGCTGCGCATGCTGCCTGTCGCTCGGCGCAAATTGATGCGCATGCACGCTCCACCCATCGTCCTGCGCGCGCTGCTGCCCAAACAAATCCTTCAGCGAGATCTGCCTCCCCATCGGCACGGCACCAGCCGACTGCCCCTCCTCCAGCGACGCCGCAGCAACATGCAGCCCATTCTGGCGGGTGGCCTCCAGCCGCTCCCGCGCCAATTTCAAGCTCTCGCCAGCGTGCACCGCACATTCGCGGATCATCTGCGCATTGATGCTGCGCGTCTCGGCGGTGGAATTCGGCGGCGGCTCACTGTAGATCCACAACCCGTAGATGCGAATATTGCTGTTGCTGTTGCTGTTGCTGTTGCTGCTGCCACTCCCGCCGCCGCCGCCGCCAAGAGGCTTAGATGCGGACTGTGCGCCGCCTGCAGCATGCTCCAGCCCGTCCGGCGCGTGTTCCGATTTCAAGATAATGTATTCCTCAGTGATCTCGACATCGGCGCCGTCGGTGAGGGGGAGGTCGAAGTTGTTGAGCCCACGGCGGTTCAGCACGAAGACGCTGTAGCGCTCCTCGCCGAGCTCGCCCTGCGCGAGTTGGCACACGAACAAGGTGCCCTCAACGCCGCTTTTCTCCCACTGGCGGGTGGTGGGACTGAAGATGTAGACGACGGCGTATTGCGCGAGCGAGAGGATGGAGGTGATGGCGGGGTTGTGGCGACGGAGGACGGCGAGGTTGAGCTCTTCGTTGGTGCGGAGGGGGGGCGCGGGGATGGTTGCTGCTGTCGTCGTTGTGGCTGCTGCCATTGTGGGTTGGGGTTGTTGCTGTTGCTGCTGGGGGTAAAAGTGTTGGTGCTGGGTGTCGGAGAGATAGGGTTGGTAGTCGGAGTCGTAGTCGGAGGGTTGTTGTTGGGTGAAGTTGCCTTGGTTGAGGTGGTGGTGAAGTTGTCGCGGGGGAGTGGTGGTGGGGGTGGTGGTGTTAGGATTGACGTGGTTGGAGTGTGCTCGTCGGGGTTTGCGAGCAGACATTATGTGGGAGATAAGAATATTGGGTAGAGAAAAAGGGAAGTGAGAGTGTGAAATGGCAGTGAGGATGAAGTGTCAGTCACGGTGGTGAGGGATGGAGGAGGAGTTGTTTTAAGGTAGAAAGAGAGAAGAAGCTCTGGCCGTAAGCGGTCGGAAAGTCACTCTTCCTTCCCTTCCTCCTCCCCGCGGTCTGGAATGCGTTCATTTCATCATCCATCCATCCTCTCCCTTTCCCTTTCCCTCTCCCTCCCACCTCAAAACTTCATCCTCCCTTCAACAACCCCCCCCCCCTCTCTTCCTCTCTTTCAGCTCGGCTCTGCGTTCTTTCTTGCCGCGGAAGCTGATCGCAGACTTTGAGATTCTCAAATCATTTCCCAGTGAGCAATCATTTCTCCACCCCGATCTATATTACTGCAGAGCCGCCGATCCCGCGGCTTGCAAGTCCGCGCAGCTCTCGCTCGCTACGGCGTCGCCACCTGCGCTCTGGCCCACCCTTTCAGTCTCTTATCAAAAGCCCCCTCGGCCTCTTGTTGAATGGTCGCATGAGACGCCATTTCCTAACCCCTGAGACTGTCGCATTCTAGATTCCATTCGTTTGCCCACCCGTTTGCGCCGCGTGTCATTCCGCCGTGACAGCTCGTGTTCGCCCGCCTCGCTCGGTGGCCATCATATACCTATACCTATATATATAGACTTACAACACCAAAGCGAGACGCGCGTAGTGTCTCTCCCTAATATACCATGGCCTCGACCGCCCAGCGACCCTTACCCCAGCCACACATCTCCGGCGAATTCCCCGGCGACAACGAGATTTCCTCAGACCCCGACCCCTCCTCGCTCCCGCAGGCCGTTAGAGCGAGAAAGGCTGAATATACCCGCCAGCAGACGATTCGAGTCAAGGTGGGCACGTGGAACGTGGCGGCTATTCCAGGCACCGAGAATGACATTGGGAATTGGTTTGTACAACAAAAGGGGTTATGCGAGCAATTGTCTGGGTTACAAGTCCATGACTCGCGGGGAGAAAACCAGCCGGCCGGCTCTTCGGCTGGCGAGACGAGGTCCCTGTCCGAACCGGCGCCGGACCAGGTCGACCTCTATGTTCTCGGCTTGCAGGAAATTGTGGATGTCTCGTCGCCTGCGGAGGCGCTGAGGCCGTATGTCGACTCTGCGCCTGCAAATCGGTGGAAGGCGGCGCTCGAGAAGGCCTTGCCACCGGGCTATAAGCTTGTCGCGGAGACGCAACTGGTGGGTCTATTGCAGCTGGTGTATGCTTCTCCCTCCCTGGCCAGCCAGATCTCGTCCGCTAGTTGCACCAATGTGGGGACGGGGCTTCTCGGGTACATGGGCAACAAAGGCGCCGCTGCGACTCGTTTGGTGCTCGGAGAGACTACATGCCTTGTCTTCGTGAATTGCCACCTGGCGGCCGGGTCCGATAAGAATAGTCTAGAGCGGCGGAATTGGGATGCCTCCCAGATTGTCACGCGGACTCGCTTCGAACCCATTGATCCAATAACTAGCCTTCGGGGCGATCCTGCCGAGAGTATTGGACAAGAGGACTTTGCTTTCTGGTTCGGCGATCTCAATTATCGGCTGGAAGACATCCCTGGTGACGATGTGCGCCGAGTGCTGGCACGTCACACAGAGAATGACTACGATAATAGGCACAAAGGACGCATAGATGCCGATGATCGTAGTACATCGTCGCAGGGAACTGCCAGAGATGGGGGAGAGCGACAATCATCTTCCTCTTCCAGGAGGGATAGCTCTGGCTCGAACTCACCTGTTTCGGACGACGACATCGATCCTCATACGGATCCCGCCTCTTTACAGACCACGATATCGTCTCTACTCCCCCATGATCAACTCGCAATGCAGCAGAGCAAGCGCAAGGCTTTCCATGATGGATGGCGCGAGGGGCCAATTACCTTTTTGCCTACCTACAAGTATGATGTAGGCAGCGTGGGTAGGTTCGATTCGAGTGAGAAAAACCGCGGGCCCAGTTGGTGCGACCGGATCTTATTCCGATCGCGCAAGGACAGACTACGATCTGAGAGAATGGCGAGAGAAGCCGAGGAGGCTAGGAAGCGTGATGAGGAGATGAAGGCCCGGGGTCTGGACAAGGCGGCTGCTGATGACAATGTCTTATTCGACTATGACCCAGATCTTGACGGAGCCGACAGCGGAGATGAATACGATCCGGACAAGGATTCCAAAGCAGGTGACTCGTTCATGTCATCCGATGAGGCGGATGAGTCGCTTCATTTAGACTATTACTTGTCTCACCAGGGGATACTTTCCTCCGACCATAAGCCCCTCGCGGCCGGATTTACTCTCACGTTTGAGTCCGTGGACCCGCAGGTAAAGGCCAAAATCCACCAGGAAGTGGTTCGAGAATTGGACAAGGTGGAGAACGAGTCCCGACCAGGCCTCACTGTGGTGGTCGACCATCATGGCAGTCAGCCCACAAGCGAGGATCCTAATGCTGTGAATTTTGGGGATGTGCCATTTGACGTCCCCGTCACTCGCACACTGACAGTCGCCAACACCAGTGGTGTCTCCGCCACGTTTACCCTGGAAAAACCGGAACAGAACGCGTCTCAACTGTCTGCCTCCTGGTTGGAGTACAGGGTGCTTCATTCTGATCAAGATAACTCGAAACAGAAGCTGCCGTCGAATGAATGTTCTCTCCTACCCGGGGAGATTGCGAATATCGAACTTACGGCGTATGTTCGGGATGTGGAGCTGGCACGATTGTTGAATCAAAGCAAACTCAGTCTTGAAGAAGTCTTGGTCCTCCGAGTAACCAATGGTCGGGATCATTTCATTTCTGCGTACGGCAAGTGGCTGCCGACATGCTTCGGCCGCTCGCTTGAAGAGCTTACCATGATGCCTGAAGCTGGGGCGCGCAGCCTCGACGAGTCCGAGAAGCAGTCGAAGCATACGGGCGTACCGCTATCGGCGCCTCGTGAGCTATTTCGATTGACCGAATGCATATCGGAGATGACGGAACGCGCTGTTGCTGAATGGAGTATGACGAGAGGTCACTCGGAAGACGACACCGCTCCGTGGACCAAAGAACCCTTGGGCTACGGTTGGCCCTTTGAGCCGGAGACATGGACACTATGTGACCAGGACGAGCGTCTCTCACTGCTGGCAGCTGCTCGCGAGGCCCTCGACACCAACAAGGATTTCAGTATCGTGTTCGCACCCGAGGTATCTTGTCTGCATCGGCTCGAGATCCTGAGTGAAACATTGCTTGTGTTCCTTCGTTCGTTGAAAGACGGCGTCGTTACCAGCACTGTCTGGCACAACTTGGACCAACAGATCCTCGCTCGCGAAAAAACCCGCGCGCCACCCTTGTCGTGGGAGGAGACCCAAGCGTGGGTGTTGGAGAGCCTCGCCTACTCGCCTGCCCACAGCGTATCTTTTACTTTTGTGACATTCATGCTTGCTCGCATCGCCAACGAAGTTGCCCCCGCATCATCCATTCCCACCAGTGGCCCGCTCAAGATTCTGTCTCCCGCGCTCGAAAACCGCAGTCCAACGGCACCAGAACCCCCTACCAAGGACTCCAGGAACCCCTCCCAGGCGCAGCAAGAGACGCAGCAGCAACGGGAGCAACCGCCGCCACCCCCCTCGTCCTTCATCTCTGCCAACGCATTCCGACGCCGCACGCGCACCTTCAACTCCTCCGTCTCCGAACCTGCCCCCGTCGTCTCGCAGATGGCCATGCGCCGTCAAGCGGTCGAAACTGCCCTGGCGACGATCTTTGCTTCCGTGCTGATCGCCACAGAGGGGCCGGTGCCCCCCAAGGAGAAGGAGCGGCGAGCCGTGGAGGAGCGCAAGCGGGGGATCATCGAGCCGTTCCTGAAGACGATTGGGGTGGATAGTAAGGGACCTTCCGGCGGTGTTCCCTGACGTTAATGTTTTCCTAATGCGCGTGTTTCATGCCTGGCATGTATGTATATATTGTATAATCTCCGAGTACATAGTCAGATAGTACAGCGATAGAATCCGGCTATTTCGGACACCGTTCAGTTCAGCCTACATTATTCACAGCGTTAGTCAGGATTGTTGCTCGATTTCTGGCTTGTCTATCGGGATGTAGACTCGAATCGGGATATCATCTCAGCCTCGAGAAGAATCCGCGCAGCCACAAAAGCAAAGGGAGAGAGTTACAAACGCGCCATGAAGCGGTGACCGAACTTGAATAATGAATGAATGATACTTGCAAACTATACCTACCTACCTTTAACCCCCCCCCCC